TGTCTCTTTTTTTTTGTGATTCCATCCATCCATCCCGCACTATTTGTGAACGTGGGAAAACAAAATAAAACTGTGGCAAAGTACAAGTATAAGTTTGTGTAGTTATACTATACATAAAAATAAATAATGGTGATGTGAGGTGAAACTTGACCGGAGGCGCGGGGGTTTGCTGGATGAAACGTTCAACCTAGTTTTCTTTTTGTCCGCTACTACTGCCGACCCGTCTTACGTGCATGGAAGAGGGTGGGGGGGCAGTTTGCGTTTGCTTCAGAACCTGGTGTTCTTTTTTGTTTTCCCTTTCATGTTTTGTTGCTTGTAGATGATCGTAATCTATGGGTCCAAGCAAAACAAGGGTGCGAAAAGAAAACAAGTTGTACATGGTAGAACGGCGTGCGTGTGTGCGTGTTGTTTAGAGTCATACTCATACAATACATAGTACACATTGTATCTGCCCAACCTGGTTTGTCTTTGCTTCCGCTTTCTAACAACGTCATGACATTTGTCGTCTGATGATGATGAAGAGTCGCAAAAAAAAACCTAGACTCCAGTCTCTACCTCTTACATCACTACCCTCATGTTTCCCGTCCATTGTCATACCAACTCTCCCCATCCTTACTCTGATGTGAAAAATAATAATAATAAGGGAAAACAAAGAGAGCATAGCAACAACCCTTAACCACTTACAAAAGAACCCCCCATGTTCCTCCCCTAAACTTCATCATCACTATCATCATCCCCCAGCAACTCCCCCTCATCCGCATCCACAACCGCGTAATCTCCTCTTCCACGAGCAAAACTGCTTCGAGAAGTATACGTCCGGCCGTAGCCCCCATATCCACCACGTCCACCGCCCATACGCCCAGCAGCCCACCTCCACACACTGCCCGCTAGCAACGGCAGCGCAGCAATAACGGCCACAAGTCCTGACACCGCTGCAATGGGCCACTTAACCCACGGCGCATCGCTATCAAACACGCCATTGCCGCCACCCTCGCCCAGCCGGATACGACCAAACTTGCCGTCCCAGTGGCGCCAGACATAGTATCCGATTCCGCCCGCGGCTGCAAACGGCAGTACGATGGCGAGGAAGAGAGAGAAGCCTCCGATGCCGTGTTTCTTCTGGAAATCTTCTTCGAAGCCAGGGCATGGATGCACGTCGCCTGTCTTGTCGAATTCGTTTCCGCCTTCGCACGTCGACAGTGGGATCTTGCGGAAGCGACTGTTGGACCAGTATTCTTTTACGCCCTTGTTCTTGCAGACAGCTGAGGCGTCTGGGAGTTCGAGACCAGGTACGAGTACGCAGTCGCCGCTGGAGTCGCGTTCGTAGTTGTATGCACTGTGGGTATGCTATTAGCCTCTGTCTTGCAAGATTGTCATCAAAACTCACCATTCGTAATCACGCCTTGTGCAAGAGCAGTTGCGTGCAATGTCGTGCATTTGATCAATGCGCTGTGCGTTCCGGCACTTGACACCCCGTTTCTTGCGGTGGTATTGGGCTACGTGCCCAAACAGACATTCAGGCTGGTCTTGCTGAAGGGGATGCTGGGGACTCCAAAGATCGTAGTCGCCGCGAGTAGGATCGTGCTCGTCGAGTTTGCATTCCTTGCTGAATTCTGGAAGACCGGAGAAATCGAGATTGACGGTAACAAGCTCCTTGCTGTCTTTGCCCCAGAGAAGAAAGTTGAGCGACGTATCGCTGGGTACCGTTGTGATAGCGTCGACCCGGATCTTGTGGTCAGAGAACTTGTACAGGTTCCATTCTACGCCGCTGTCAAGCGAGTAGTATACGTGGTCCGTGTCTTCACCTCGTCGCACAATGACAATGACGGATCCTTGATCGCCAAACTCCCACGCGTAGGTGCCCTTCTTGATTTCCCTCCACGTGATACCCGCGTCAGTAGTCATAAAGGTGTCGGCCTCGCCGAATGTTGTCAGCTCGGGTCCAACATTGCCGACAGCAAGCATCAAGCCTACTGCCGTGGGAGACGAATACATTTCACGGGGATCAGCACGCTCCGTGTATCCGTGAATGTGCAGACCACACTTGTCCTTGTTCGACACATCACACTTGTACGGCTTGCCATCAGAGTCCTTCTCAGGCGCTTGCAGAGACTCCCAGTCGGCACCGTCGTTGTGAGTGATACGACTCTGTTTCTTCTTTTTGCTGCCCTTGTCAACCTCTGCAATGTTGATAACCACATTGGCAACAGCAACACCCTCAAGACCCTGCATCTTCTCAAAGTCGACATAACCCTCATTGTTTCGGTTGACGCCGCCCAAGCTCATGACGTAAGAAGTGCCATTGCTGTTACTCTTGATGATAGAACCATACTCCTGGTCTCGTGTTGGGTTCACCGTCACATGCAGAAAGACTGCGTGCGTAGAGCTATCCAGCACCGTGTATGCAGTCTGGTGCACGTCAAAGAACTTGGGAGGGAATTTGGCCTCGGCGAAGGTGCTGGCGTCCAAGCTGGCATCCAGGCGGAGACTGTTATCCTTAGCCTTGGTCGCAACCATGATAAACTCAGACATGGTTGCGAACTCCACAACCGACTTGAACTTGACATCCTTCTTCTTGAACCAGTCGTCACTCGAGATGAGCTCCAGCGGGGCATTCGTTTCCTCATTCGTGTGTTGTTCGCAAAACACTTGCTCTTCCTTGACACTGCGCCCAGTCTCGCGCCAGACAAACATGCACTTCTTGACGTATGGCACAAGAGACTCCCAGCTATCGTCCTCGCCGTTCTTCTGTGAAACGTAGGCTACAGTGTGGCACTCTTTGTCTCCCGCCTTTTCGCAGTTCTTGCCGCCAACCCAAATGATCCAACCCTTTTGCTTGGGATGGAACTGCATAATGGGCAGCATTTCCTTGTTGGGTACAGCGGGCGCGTTGAACGAGTGAATGCTGTCATGGAGACCGCGATCCTCGGAGTAGTAAACTTTCTTTCCTGCAGTCAGGAAATAGACATTGTTGTTCTCGTACTGATGAGGGTAGATTCTAACAATTTCATCATCGATAGCCTTCTTCCACTTCTTTCCGTGGTCGTGCGATATGTAGGCCGTACGCTCATCGGTAAGCATGACAACTGTCTCATCTTTGCTTCGCTCGTTGCCAGTGTCTTCACCTTGGGTGTTGCGCTCAAGGTAGTACTGCTCCACGAACTCACCACCCTTAAACTTGGTGATTTCATTGGTAATCTCTTTGCTCTGCGGTGGCCGCTTCTCCGAGGCTTTGCATTCGCGCTCGACCTGCTTGTCTCTGTCCGTCTCACCTTTGCATTGGTTGCCGGGAATCTTTCGCCAGCCCGAACTGCCTTTGTACGTCTTGGCATCTCCTTCGCAAGCTCCCTTTGGTAGGCTGAACGAATCGTCAGGCTCGCATTTCTTGTCTTTGCCTTCACCAACAGGGGCAAAGCCAAAGTCACATTCGTAGTCCCGGAATTGGTCGCAGTCGCAAGGCTTGAAGGTGGGAACCGGGTCTTTGAAAACTTCGCCAACAGAGCATTCAGCATCCCACTTTCGCCTTCGGAACAGCTGCTTATGGCCCATGACACAGCTTGCAGCCCCATCTGCGTCTTTTCGCACAGACCATTCGGCATCAAAGTCGCTGTCTCCACACTTCTTGAGCATGTCGGTGAAGTCAAGGTGAACGATGACGTGCTCGCGGCCGCCACCATCCTTCTTCTTGGATCCGTACAGCATGAACTTCAAACTTGTCGAATCGGGCAGCGTCGTTAGTTCGCGTGCGCGGATCTTGTAGTCAAGCTTGATTTTCTTCCAGGTATCCTTTCGTCCATGTTTGAACGAGTATCTGATCTCGTCAGTGTCACCTTCGTCAAAAACTGCCACGAGGACGGATCCCTGGTCGCCGAATTCGTATTTGTGAGCTTCCTCGAGCGCAAGTTCCCACGTGAGACCTGCATCATCGGAAACATATAGGTCGCCATCGGTGTACTTGCCAAGGAACTCCCCGGTGTTTCCAACACCCATGACAATTCCTGGTGCTGGGCTCGAAAAAACGCGGCCGCTGTTGTGCAGATTGGTGACGGAGTGCAGATGGAGTTCTTCGTTTTTACCCTTGACTGTGAGCTTTTCAAAAGTTCTGCCGTCATCAAAACTGATGCGCGACTTTAGCTTCTTGGTTTGGCCCGACTTTTCAACCTCTTTGTAGTTGTCAACCGTATTCACAAGCACCACACCCTGGATATTTGCAATCTTCTCGAAATCAACATATCCGTTATCGTTGCGGTTGGTGTGTTCGACGTTCTTGGTAAAGTATGTTCCGTTGGAGTTGCTGGTATACAAATTGCCCATGGCGACATACTTGGATGTCATGACATCGACTTGTATGCTGTAGTTTGTGGACTCGAGAATTGTGTACGCATCTTCTTCAATCTTGTGGTCACCGAATTGGGCGTGGTGCCAGGAATCGGTGTCCTGGGTTACGTAGAGCGCGAGTTCGCTCGAATGTTCGGCTTTGGCAGCGGCGACGATGTAGCCCTTAGCCACGGCCATATTGGCCATGCCCTGTACAGTACGCCCAGAGGACATGGTGGGCTCTTCCATGTGCTCGAAGAAGCTGTGCTCTGTTAGTTCCTACTCTCGTATTTGATTTATCGCCACCTACTCGTCTGACACGAGAAGTCTAAAGTCTTTGGATCTATCCGAGTATTTTCCCCTTGTGATACACAGTATACGGTCATCGTGTTTGTCGACGCCTTGGAGAAATCTCTCCGAGGATTTGGCCCATTGGCACATTCGGCGATCCTTGATCAGGCCCTTGGGCTCAGTCTTGAAGCCATCGGTGGTGTAGTATGTCTGCCGCAGATTAGCAATGCGACTTGTAGTAATCTCAGAAGACGCATACCCTTCCGAGACACGGCGCCGTAAAGCAGTTCTCAATCTCGTTGATGAGTATCTTCTTGTTGTCCTGCGCGTGCCAACCCACTGGACCTGCCGGCGAAGGTGCAAGTTCCGTCTCGAAACTTTTCCATGTTTCTCCTTGGTCAAATGTAATCCAGTGCTTCTTCTCGCTCAGTACCAGCGCCACCTTGTTGTCGAATGGATTCTTGATGATGCCTAATCCCTGGATATCCTTTAATTGTTCCCAGCCCTTGCCAGCATCGTGCGAGCGGTATATCTTGCCCGTGTCGAGTTCTTGTACCAAGGCGACTCCAGAATCGTCAAAGTACATGAGGTTGACAAGCTCATTTTTGAAGGGCGTCGGCACGACGAGCGGGTCGTCCTTTGCGGTGGCGGGCGAGGGTGCTAGTGCCAGCAGGGCGGGCAGCAAAAGGCCCTTAATGTATTTCATGGTGCATAGAGGCGACGGTAAGACGCGTGTGTTGATGGAGGAGAGAAGGCGCGAATGTTGGAGAACAACTGGCGAGTCGACAATTCACAGCCTCAAGCACCGGACCCAATGACGCTGACGGACCTGAAACACACGTCGATGCGCCGCGATGGCGGAGGCTCCCCAACCCAATCAAGACACAAAGTCAAGAATCAAACCCCAAGGAGCGGCGTAGGAGGTGACAGAGGCAGTGTGCAACAATACAATGGCAAGATTGGCAATGCGATGACAGACAGCGCCAACAGTGCAGTGCCGTGCCGTGCAGTAGGCTCAACTGGCCAGATAGAGCTTGGGGGGCCAGTCGCGTATAGGCGGACGTCCGCGGCTGCTGTCCCGCATTCTACATCCCTGCTAGGACCGTCGCCGGTTCCGCTCCCAACTCCAGTACTCGCCGCCGACTCTCCTTCATACGCCTTGACAATTATTAGATACTGACGCCAATGCCTGCGACTAGACTACGGGCCCGTCAACTGTCAGTGTCTTGGCCACAACTCATGCGCTACCAGGAAGAAGGCTACAGAGTCACGATTCGAACAAGGCCTTTGACATGAGATTTGAATACCTAATTGACCGGCAGACAATAGTAATATCCCCGGCGCCGGTTTCGTCTCATCCGTCTCAGACTGACAAAAGAGCCAGGCCATGCCACCGCTTTACTTCGTCCATGGCAGCCCCAGCTTCTTCATTTCCACCGCGAGCTGCAGGATGTAATCGATACTTTCGCACTGCGTTTTGGCCTTGTGCACATTATCGCCCCAGACATAAATCCCGTGTCTCCGCACCAAAATTGCATACGAGTCCGGGTACTTTTCCATCGCCTCCTCCAAGCTCTCCCTCAAATCCTCCTCGTGCGCCGTGTTCTCGATAATCGGGATGCGCAGCCGGTCGTAGTAGCCCAGGTTTCCTTGCTTGCCCCGCCCCTTTGGTATACCCTTTATTTGCTCAATCTCCTCAATCTCAAAGCATGCGTCCTTGCCGAAGTCGCGCTCGACGAGGAGAGTAACGAGTACTGCCCATTGCGAATGCGTGTGGATGCAACATCCGGCGCCGCGCTCAAAGGCTGCCATAAACAGTGGGGTGCAGGCCGAGGGTTTGAGGACCTTGAATGTGGAAATCAGATGTGCGCACCAATCTCATGTGAAAATGTGTGATCTGTACCTGTGGCCTCCTGAGGTACTCCTTACTATTGAAGTCCATGACAAACATGTCGGTAGGCTTCATGAGTTCCTTTTGTACGCCACTCGGCGCAATGTATATCTTGTCTTCATGGCGTATGCTTGTTCCTCCGCCAGTGCCTGTCACCTGGCGCAATTCCCATTGTTAGCCATGCAGTCAGAAAAGCGCCTCTTCACTTGCTGACCCCCAATTTCACGGGAGGAATCCTCATACCCAGCCCAAGTTGTAGAACTTTGCGCAAAGCGTGCAAATGTGGTTTGCCGGGTGGCTTGGGTCATCAGAGTGCACGAGGGCCTCTGGATCCTGTACATTGGAGCTCATTATGGCGTTTTTAAAGAATGTGCCTCTCTCTCTTTTTGAGGCGCCAAAGTTGAGAGTTTTTCTCAATGCCCAAATGACGCGTTGGGCGACCGCGAAGCTACTTACCCCACGTGGTCTGGGCGGATGGTCTTCACCCCACTATTCTAGTCAGGGCTGGCTGGTACAAGCCCTGTCACCGTTACAGCATTGAGAACTTCTGAGTACATTCAAAGAGTGGGTTCGTTTATTCAACCTAAACATATTACTCAAGCAAATACAAGGTCGCCTCGCACAAGGAGACTACGACTCGTGGTATCATTGACGTCCAAACGCTCACTACATTATGATTTCCTCCACCAAGATTGCGCAACCGGGTATATCGCAACTACTTGGTCGTCTCATTTTGCGCCAGAGGAGAGTGCTCATGCTCCTTCTTCTTGTCAAGGTGAAGCGCATGCTTTAGCTTGTCGCCGAAGCCCTGGCGGTCTGGGGACTGAGAGTGACCACCGTGCTTCTCCTTGTAGACGTTGCCAGCGCCGCCTCTCTATATTCATATTAGCCTTGTCCTCTATACATGCACAAAGAGGCCACATACTCCAGTGTGAAACTCTTCCTGTGGGTTGCGCTGGTTGATCTCGGGTACCAGGTCGACTGGGCGACCTTCGTCAGACTGCGGGCCAACACGAGGCGACTTGCCCATGTTTCCAGCTCCACCGCGGCCAGTTGAGAATTCGCCTTCGACAGATTCGCCTTGAATGCCTTCGCGAACGAGGCCTCCGTCGGTATAGACAGTATCGTCTTGGCCGATGTTGCCAGCGCCTACGTGAACAACAGTCAACTTCTGCTTTTACAAGACATGCGCGTTTTCTGGGAAGATGCGACTGACCTCCACGTCCAGTGGAATGAATCGGTGTGCTAGTCATCTTTTCTTTATTTGCTGCTTCGAGAGTGTCTTGAATTCAAAATGTATACGATCGAGATCGCACAGAACCGGTGTTACGACTGAGAGAGTAAACCAGAGTATGCCAACAGCCCAGCGCAACGCGACCAGAAAGCCCTTATAGTCATTCCTTCAGTCGGGAGACAACCTCCAAGAGACTGCAATGACGCAATCTCATTTGCACCCATTGGCAGCGCGGGATGAAAATAAGCTCCCGCAATCCAAACCAGGCATCGGCCTGTCTACGGCTGCAAGTAATTCAACGAAGTTTGCTCGGCCAAGACAATTTGCAACAATGAGGGACGGCGTCGCGTCTTCACGCAGCCCTCTCATTGTACCGTGTACGTGGTTTATGCGATGGCGTGAGGTGATCGCCTGATAAGCCAGAGTGAAGTGATTCGCTCTGCAAGTGACTAAGCCGCCTACATCCCACTGTTTCCAAGCCTCGAGACTGGCAATCTTACGCGAACATGCACGGGCAAAGAAGCGTGGCTGATGTTACAAGGTTTACTTGGAAATGCTATTGGAGAAGTTTGCAAAGCACGAGGTCCACTGACGTTTGTCTGCCCATCCTGGTGGTCGTCGATCCTGACGCAGGCACAGCAATTTCGTCAACTATGCAGGAACGACGAAATAATTTCACATACCTAGCCATCATAGCGTGGTACAAATCCAAGTACCATGGCACGATGATAAGCTCATTATCTAATCACAAGTCCCCGTTACTTGTAGAGCCACAGAAACCAAACCAAGCCAACACAGCACGTGTAACATAGTGGCGTCACACATTCTTCCAAACACTCGAGCCGCACCTTCCATACTTGTTTCAAACACATACCTTGACCGTCTTGAGATTTGAATGGAGCAAGAATGCGCCATCTTTAACGTCCCAATATCTCGATGTGGCACAGAGCTTGTTTAGAAACTCGAGGGTGATGTGATTATTATTACCTACGTGATACGACGGCCTAAGACCCTAATAAAACTAATAGGAAACGGGACAGAACATGGGTATCGTAACATTTCAGAGCTCGGAACAAAAGGCCCCATCGCTTGCATTCTCTCAAGACGTAAGGCTTTGGTCATCGCTGTACCTGGCGTGACCGTCTTCTGCAGACTGGGCTTGCGCTTTGCTCTGGTCTGCATGCTTGGCGGGATCGAAGACGTACATTGGGAACTCCAGGAATAGGGTTCGCTTCAGAAATACCGGCATCCTTGCGTATAGTGCCGGTGGGAAGGGGATGAGGATGCTGGTTCGTTGGAGATACCTTTCATACTCAGGCCAATGGCTGCCCTTCTCATACCTCTTCTTTGCTGCTGGGCGTTCCTGTAGCGTAAGACCTGATACGAACATGAGAAGCAGGGTCAAGAAGAAAGGCCCGAGGATCGACGCATAGAGGGCATCGTAGGCACCTCCCGAGACGTAGTTGTACGCCGCTGGCGACACAGCAATGGTGAAGATACCTGGGAACTGTCAGCTTCCGCCAAGAACATATGCACCGCCAGGACCCACCGAACTGAATAATGATCTCCCCGAAGTAGTTGGGATGCCTGGTCCACGCAAAGAATCCCACATCGCAGACCGTGCCGTCGCTTCCATTTGCAGTGCGGAATCGATACTTTTGGATGTCGGAAACGCTCTCCATAATGAATCCAATTCCCCAAAGGATAACGCCCGCAATATCACATCCCGTCCCGAACTCGGGCTGATTGAACTTGGTAACATTCGGCGAGTTGAGTAGCGTCACGGGTAATGAAACGGTCCAGACCCAAAACATTTGACTACGCTCTCGTCAGAAACAACATCCTCTCAGGATAGGACTAACTGCATCCACTCACAAGACCCAGAATCCCAGGAACGACCAAAACTTATCTCGCTTGTCATCAAACCTGTCGTCTTTTCCTGTCTTGAGGATACGGAAAAGCAGGAACCCGCTTAGTCGTGCCGCCCATAGCATAATAAAGAGCGAGACGACGATGTTGCGTGGCTCATCCCTATTTTCGCTGAAAGAAAGCGTGAGGATAGCGAGAAGAATGAAATTCGTCCCGCCGGCGAAATCAGTGAGTTTGTCGAATTTTAGCGAAAACGCTATCGCGAAGAAGAAGAGTTGGTAGGCAACTGTAATCAAAAAGGTTATCGCAAGGTAGTAGTTGTCAAGCACGTGTACGGCCGCCATGGTGTCGGTTGGTAGAATACTATTGCTCTGTGTGCTCCTCAGAGGAAACAGAAGAAGAAAAGAGCACGCGCCTCTACATATAACACACCCGTCGATCTAGTCGCGCTCTCGCGCCTCACGGAGCCCGGACAGTGTGCTCAAGGCAAAATCTCGCCGCTTCTGGCATTTGTTGCGCTCAGAGAAATGTTAGCCCGGTCGGGTCGATGACGCACGTCATCGGCGGGAGGGCCAAGCCACGATACGTAGTGACGACTCTGGCCCGCGATCAGCCGCTTGGTTGCGCATCCCTCCACACCTCATGTATCCATCCACCCAGCAAAATGCACGCCTCGAATCCAGAGCAGCCACGCAGTGCACTCGGGGGCCTAGACATAAATCCGGAAGATCCAACTCCAAACCCGCATGACCCGTGCTGAATAATCTACCCGCACACGACGGGACACTGAAACTCCGCTCGTGTGAGCTACCCATGTCGCATCTCACACATAAACCGCATCAGATAGTCTCTCCAGCGGTTAGCCCAGACAGGCTTCTATCGTAAAGCTTTCCACATACATCGCCCATTTCTCTGCTGAACCGCCCAGAGTTCCTGCATCAAGCCTTTTGATTACAAGGGTTGGTCCTGAATAACTAATGCTCTCCACTGCGGTTGCTTTAACTCCCGTCCCCCCGTCTCCAGTCCCCTCAGGGCGCCCACTTAGCTCATGAGACACAATGGTTCAAGCTGACCGGTACACGTAACTGCCAAACACACGAAACCGCCCACCCCTCGTCGGGCCTTACTGGGTTGGTACAGGAAACAAAAGAATAAGTGGGTAAGGCGCCTGGTTGGGACTGTTGAAGTAACACGATTTAGGGGTGGGTGAATGCATTCTTTGCGGAAGCGCTGGACGTTGCTTGTCTCTTCTCTTTTCTTCTCTCTTACACAGGAAAGGCTCATGCTCCGTGACGATACCCGCTTCCAACTGCCGCCATTGTTTCTGTTTGCGCGGCTCCACCGTTTTGCTCCTCTTCTCGCTTCTCTTCGCGCGACGTTCCCCCCCTTTTGTTCTTCCACCTCGTTTTCTTTCCGACTACGACTTCCTTTGAAATCTGCTGTGCAGGTCTCCTTGGAGCAGGAAAACAAGGTTTCTTCTGCATGTCTGTGACATTTGCCTTTTTCGATTCTCTTTTCTTTCCAGCAGGACTGTTGATGTTTTAATTAATGATTGCACTTGTTTTTACGCCTTATCTGGATTTTTGCTTTTTTATAACGGCATCGCGCGTATACTAAATTACCATTATGAAGACGACAACATCGTCCCTGGCTTCGGCCTTGCTGCTAATCAGCGCAGTATGTACAACCCATTAATCCCACAGTCTACTGATGCTAAGTATATCAAAGTCTCTTGCTTACGCAAAACTTGATATCCACAATACTCACATACAGACGAATATTGCTGGAAAACGTATCGATGACCTGGTCTCTGGAGTTGATCGGTCGGGAAACAATGTTTTCGACAAACGCGATGTCCCTGCTATTGAACAGGCAAATCCTTTTGACAGCACACACATCGTTGCCAGGTCTGCACAGAGCGGTCTGGATGCAGATGCTTTATTGAATAGCATTGCACCAAGTCAGAGTGTCGGTAACGGAGACATTACCACAAACGACGTTGGTGGAGATATTGCCAATCAGATTGCTGCTGGAAGTACGAATAGCATTGGCAACACTGGCAGTGGGCAGGGTGGACAGACGCAGAGTGGATCGGCGAATGATACTGGGGTGCAGGCACAGAGTCAGAGTCCTGCTCAGGGAACTACGCCAGGAGCTGCCCAAGGTCTTGCACAGGGAGCTTCTCAGGGAAGCACTCAAGGAACTCAGGGAACCCCTCAAGGAACAACTCCAGGAACTGCCCCAATCAACTCTCCAGGTCAAGGAAGTGACATCATCTCGAACGACGTAGGAGCTGCTCTTGAAAGTCAACTGGAGCCAGGAGGTGATTCGACCGATGCTAATGTTCCTGATGTCGGTGGAGCCATTGCGAATTCAATCGCACTTGGCGGACAAAGTCAACCAACACCATTACCACAGAGTCAGCAATCACCACAGGGTCAACAGCCACCGCAAGGCCAAGCACCGCAACAGGCCCCCCGGCCACCACCATCGGGCCAGGCACCTCAGGCTCAGGCACCTCAGGGTCAGGCACCTCAGGCTATGGCACCCCAACCCATGGCGCCCGCAGCCAGCCAGGCCGCACCAGGAGCGGCCCCAATGGCATCGCCGATGGCGTCTCCTAAGGCATCTCCAGCGACACCCCCGGAAATGGGTTCAGCGCCTCAGGCTATGGCACCCGCAGCAGCAATGGAGGCATCGCCAGCAGCAGCCCCTGAAATGTCTCCAGCAGCATCACCTGCAGCGGCTCTAGAAGCGTCGCCAGCAGCGGCTCTAAATGCGTCTTCAGTAGCATCACCTGCAGCATCTCCATCATCATCTGAGATGTCACGAATGACATCCCCTGAAGCACCTGCGAAAGCAGCTTCAGAGGCATCTCCTGCCATGTCCTCAGCAATGTCGTCAGGGGGATCTCCCTCCTCAAAGCCCGTCATAACCGTGACACCCCCAGGAAAGTCATCTCTGCCAGCAGTGACGCCTATCCCCTGGACCAACTCACCATCGAAAATGGGAGGAATGAAAAGCAGTGCAAGCACAGAAGGGCCAGTCACTCCAGCAGCGTTATCCGCTAAAAGCACCAGTACAATGGTATGCCACTACAATGCACTTGCAGTGTCTAGTGATTGATTACTAACAATAACGGTAGATGGCTGGCGCAGAAATGGCCTCGCCCGGCTCAATGGCCAGCAACGGAACCGCTGCAGCTGTAACATTAATTGCCGAGGGTGGCTCGCCAGCTGCCGCAGAAGCGGTTTCCAGTTCCATGTCCACTAGCATGGCATCAATCAACACTGCAACCCTGACACCGGGTGGCCTTGCTGCTGCAACCACGACAACAGCAGTAGGTAGTCCTATTGCAGTCATCGCCCAAGGTAATGTCACCGCCAGCTCCAGCGGCGCCTCGATGACCATGGCATCTGAGGGTGGCTCCGGGGAAAGCAATGCTGTGATGAGCAAGGCGTCTGGCAGCAGTGCTGCACCGCCGGCGGCCGCAGTTACAGTTGTTGCAGGGTCAGGAAACTCGTCTGAGCCAGCAGGCATGATGAGTGGCGGGGGTGCTGGATCGTCCATGCCCTCCAAGAGTGGTGCTTCGGCTACAGCTGATGCCGCTTCAGGTGGTGCAGCTGGCCCAGTCACTGTTATCGCAGGCAACGGAACATCACCGACTGCTGCTGCTGAGGCTGTCAGTGGATCAACCTCCATGGCCTCTGGTATGGGTTCGAGTGGTGGTTCCTCAAACGGAACGTCAGTCGGACCTGCAGTCACTGTTATAGCAGGCGGTGGCGAGGCAGCTGCAGCCGCTGCGACGCGAGCAGCGGAAAACGGAGGCTGCAATTGCTCTTGCCTGTGTCCTGCGGGCTCCTTCTCCATGGCACCGCCACCGGCCCCAGCGTTCCAACTGGGCTCTTCGAGCACGATGCAGACAATGGTCGCCAGCCCCATCACCGTCGAGGCAGGAAGCAGTAAAGCAGGTGCAAGTTCAGGTTCCGGCTCCAGCTCCAGTTCTGCCTCCTCCTCCGCATCCTCATCCCCAATGTCGACAACTTCCTCCTCCGCCGCAACTTCAACCTCCGCTGCCGAGGCAGCTAGCTCAAGTTCTGCAGCTACACCCGCGGCAACTACCTCGTCGTCGTCGTCGTCGTCGTCGTCGTCTTCTTCTTCCTCATCTGCAGCAGCAGCGACTAGCATCTCGGCTCAAAGCCAAATCGCAGCCAATGCACCGCCCGTGCCTACACCTATTGGCGGTGCGGAAACGCCAGCTGGCGGACTGCCGTTTAACATCAATACTGTTGACTTGCAGAGTCGTGTTACTGTGAATTTGGGAAGGAGACTGGCGAAGCCGACAGTGGCGCCGAGGGCGTGGTGGTGAAAAGTCAGTAGGTTAGTCAAGTTAGTACGAGAGGTTATTGTTAGTATTTGTTTGGTCTGATTTTTTTGGAGGGGGAGGGTTGTTATATTTGTCCCCAAGTGTATGTGTGGGTTCTGGTTCTTATGGTATATATATATATAATTGGTTTAGTAGGGCATTGAGTGCGCCTGCTTTGCTGTGACAGGGTTGGGTTTAATTTATGAAAAAAGATGAAATATAGTAGTACAAGAAGATCATTGCTTGCTGTTTCGCGCGTCTAATTGGGTATCATTTTTTTTCTTCTTCTCTTGAAATAAGCACTTTTGTTGATTATGCGGGCTGCTGTTGTTGCTCCTGGCCTGCTTCCTGAACTTTTGCCTTTTTGTTCTTTGCTTGTTGGCGTTTGGAAATGGGCTTTTCGGCTTTTGTCTCGTGCGTGGGGGTGGAGTCCAACGTGTCGCCTGGGCGCTTGCCGTTTTGGTTCTTGTTTGCTTTTCCCTTTTGCGCGGACTTATCTTTTGTCTCATGTGCTGGCTTCTCGCCGCCATGGACGATATCAACTATGCCCTTGAAGCTCTGTCGCTTTAAGCGCGCAAACTCGACGACGCTTCGTGGCTCCTTGGTGAGGCCGTCCTTGGCCTTTTCCGTGCCGAGTCCCCATACTGAAGCGAGGTTGATGATGTCGCTGGGTGCGCGTATGCCCAGGGCGGTGTTTGCTTCGGAGCTGAATATCAGACCGCGGCCTCTGGTGACGCGAATGAGCTGGACGGCGTTGCTTATGACATTGCGCTTTGCGGCCGGATCATTTGATAGGATGCCTTGGCTATAGCAAATCTCAATCTTGATTCCTCGAGCTATAGCGGTGCCGAGCATAGGAAACTTGAAGTGTGTTTCGAAGCGGGTGGCGAGGTCGAGCGAGATGATATCCACGTCGAGGCTCTGGCATGCCTGTTGCAGGGTGCGCTCGTCGGTGGGCCGGGCAGCAACCAGGTCATAATGCTGCTGCAGCTGGGGGATGCGGAAATTGGAGGCCGAGTCAGTGAGGAAGATGTTACAGCGACGCAGGATGCGTATCCGGGCAGGGACGGGGAAAGGCAGGCTGGTGGGTACGGGGGAAGTCTGGTGGTGAAAAGGCATTGATCAGCGTGGCGTCGCAGGCGCAGGCGCAAGTGAAACTGGAAAGTGGAAGCCACAACCGGAGCAGCAGCAGCAGCAGTGTGGGGACCTACTATATCAGCGGGGAGCCTCCCAGTGTATGTGTGCGTGAGAGCAACGACATCGTATCCTACTGCATTACATCAGCCCGGCGCTCGCTGCATTGCATCACTCCGACGCCCAAGGATTGCGCAGCAGCTCACATTCGTCGAGAAAAGCGATTGTCCGCTGCAGTCCCGGTGTTGGGCCAGGCCAGGGCACGTGTAGATCGTGGAACATTTTGCGCAATGGCGTCGACGGGCACAGAACGAGTGGTGGGAGTGGGAGAGGGCGTGGGAGAGAGGGCGGCAAGGCTGCGGAAGAGCAAAATAGGTAAGTCGACCAAGATCGTCACCGGGCGGGCGGGCGGTTCGCATAGAAAAAAACCCCGTTAGCATGTGGTGCCGGAGCTTGGCCGTGGAATGCAATGCCTTGCTCTGCTCTGCTGCATCGAACTGAACTGAACTGGACTGGACTAACGCGCGCACACAAGCCACACACTACCGCCCCCAGCAGCCCTCGCCGGCCTCGGCAGCCTCAGCAGCCTCGGCAGCCTCAGCGCCGCCACACGCCCGGCCGCGCCAGCCACAGGACGAGTGCGGCGGCCATCGTCACCGCCTCTTTGGGCTGCTGTACTGGACAGAGACACGGGGCGGGTTTGCTGTGCTTGCTGTTGCTGCTGCTGCTGCCGCCGGCCTCGCCCTGGTCCTCTGCCTGCCGCCGCCGGGTGGTGCCGCCAGCCTCCGCCCTCTGCCCCCACTCCCACCAACTCCAACTCCAGCACAAACACCACCGCCTCCGTCACCACCACCACGCGACCCCCCGCCCCCGCCTGCCCACCACCCCTTCGCTGCCACCATGGCGCTCAACAACTCGAGCGGCGCCACGAGCATCGCCCGCGTCTATGCCGATGTCAACGCAAACATGCCCCGCTCCTACTGGGACTACGACTCGGTCAACATCTCGTGGGGCGTGCTGGAAAACTACGAGGTCGTCCGCAAGATCGGCCGCGGAAAGTACTCCGAGGTCTTTGAGGGCATCAACGTCGTCAACTACCAGAAATGCGTCATCAAGGTCCTCAAGCCCGTTAAGAAGAAGAAGATCAAGCGTGAAATCAAGATTCTGCAAAATCTGTCGGGCGGCCCCAACATTGTCTCGCTGCTCGACGTGGTGCGCGACAACCAGGTGAGTTGCCCATTCGGACTTGGCCTTGGCGCCTGGCTACCGCTGCTGCTGCTGCTAACACGCGACGCATAGAGCAAAACCCCTTCGCTCATATTCGAATATGTCAACAACACCGACTTCCGCAGTCTGTACCCCAAGTTCCAGGACTTTGATGTGCGCTTCTACATCTTCGAGCTGCTCAAGGCCCTCGACTTCTGCCACAGCAAGGGCATCATGCACCGCGATGTCAAGCCTCACAACGTCATGATTGACCACGAGAAGCGAAAGGTGCGCATTGTAAACTCGCCCACGCGCTCCACTGCTAACCCGAGCCTAGTTGCGCCTGATTGACTGGGGTCTGGCCGAGTTCTACCATGCAGGAACAGAGTACAACGTCCGCGTTGCGTCGCGTTACTTCAAGGGTCCCGAGCTGCTAGTCGACTTCCAGGAGTACGACTACTCGCTCGACATGTGGTCGCTGGGCGCCATGTTTGCCTCGATGATCTTTAGGCGAGAGCCCTTTTTCCACGGCAACAGCAACTCGGACCAGCTGGTCAAGATTGCAAAGGTCCTTGGCACCGAGGACCTCTTCGACTACCTCGACAAGTACGACATTGAGCTGGATGCCCAGTACGACGACATACTCAGTCGGTATCCCAAGAAGCCCTGGCACTCGTTCATCAATGCCGAGAACCAGCGCTTTGTCAGCAACGATGCCATTGACTTCCTTGACAAGTTGCTACGATATGACCACCAGGTAAGCCCAGTCAGCACCTGCGCCTTACAGCGCTTCCCCGCTAACACGCGCCCTAGGAACGACTCACTGCCCAAGAGGCCATGTCGCATCCTTACTTTGCTCCTGTCCGACAAGCTGCGCAGCAGAACAGCACCGCAGCATGATTGAGATACCCAATTCACGTGATGAAATGTTATGTAATGGCATAAAAGCACAGGCGCCCAACCCTTTACTCAAATCAGAGCATTCTCCTTGCAGTCACGCTCTGAGCGTGGCGGACTATCTGGCGTGCCGGCGTGCACACGGGGCATGAACAACGGAGCGATATATATGCAGGGCAAAAGACGGGGGGGTACTGTTCTTGGATAGGCCATGAGAGAACGGCAGCGGGCCAGCGCAGGCGTATTTTTGCGACCAACGCTCTAGGGCTGACGGTCAGAATAATGCATAGCCAAGGTGTTAGTGGGCTTGTACAAATGTCCAACGGAGTGAGTCCTCTTTCTCGAATGTTATCAATGAATATGGTATTATGATGTGAACTTCAACCAGTGATTGCTTCGAACGACTTGACAGTGTCATTTGTATTAGGGCCAAGGGCATTTTTGTGAGTAGTTCATCAACGGCTGAACCGTTCCCTGCGAGTTCACCTGGATGCGTAGGCGGGGTCAGATCGGACGCTCGGACTCAATGTGGGGGTGACGCATGCCGGACTTTGAAGACTCACACCCAGTCACTATTTTGTTAATGTTGCCCCGCCCCGCGCCCATTACACTGCGCGCTGCTTGCAGACAATCCCTCACACATACCAATTCCTTCTGGCACAGACTACAGTTGCCATCGCGAATTTATACTGCCCTTCACCCTCACTCTTCGGCTCACGCTGGGCGCGTGCTCACTCTGCACCACCACTACTCGACCCCAACCATGGCGCTCAATGCGTCCTCCCACAACACCACGGGTGACAAGACGGCACCCAACACCGCCCCACCGCCCGAACTGAGCGGGGAAGCCAAAAAGGATATTCTCGGCGCCGCTGAAACCGAAGCCACTGGCCAAAATGCGCCCGGTCGCGAGAACGAAAAGGGCGTAGAGAAGAAGGAGAAGACTGCCAAGGAGCTGGAGAAGGAGAGGAAAAAGGCCGAAAAGGACGCAAAGTTCAAGGCCAAGAAGGCTGCCGCTGCTGGCGCTGCCAAGGATGCTCCGGCAAAGGAGAAGAAAAAGAAGGGCAAAGAGGAGGAGCAACTGCCCGAGTACGTTGAACAGACCCCCAAGGGCGAGAAGAAGCGTCTTCAGAGCTTGGACGGTCCATACACAAAGGCATACATCCCCAAGGTTGTAGAGTCTGCATGGGACGCTTGGTGGGATGCTCAAGGCTTCTTCAAGCCCCAGTTCGCAGAGGATGGCAATGTCAAGTCCCCTGGCCATTTCGTCATTCCCATCCCACCACCCAACGTCACGGGCAAGCTACACTGTGGACATGCGCTCGCAACAAGTCTTCAGGATGTCTTGATAAGATGGCACAGGATGAGAGGCTACACTACGCTGTATCTTCCTGGTTGTGATCACGCGGGTATTGCTACGCAGTCCGTTGTCGAGAAGATGTTGAAGCGAAGGGAGAACAAGACCCGATATGACCTGGGTCGCCAAAAATTCCTCGAGAGGACTATGGAGTGGAAGGAAGAGTACCACCAGCATCTTACCAACACCCTCCGCCGAATGGGTGGTTCCTTTGACTGGACGCGCGAGGCTTTTACCATGGATGAGAATCTGTCAAAAGCAGTCACAGAGACGTTTGTTCGCCTCCACGAAGACGGTCTGATTTACCGAAGTAACAGACTGGTCAATTGGTGTACAGCCTTGAACACGGCTTTGAGTACTCTTGAAGTCGATAACAAGGATCTGGCTGGCCCGACCAAGCTGTCTGTTCCGGGATACGAGAGAATGGTCGAGTTTGGTGTCCTTACTCACTTCAAGGTATGCCGAGCATAGTCTAATTTCGAAAACTGTACTAACAATTTCTGTAGTACGCCATTGATGGTACCGACCAATTCATTGAGATTGCCACCACACGTCCTGAAACTATGCTCGGTGATTCCGGTATCGCCGTCCACCCCAAGGATGACCGCTACAAGCACCTCGTTGGAAAGAAGGCTAAGCACCCCTTCATCGACCGTCTCATGCCCATTGTCGCGGACGAATATGTCGACCCCGAGTTCGGTACTGGAGCCGTCAAGTTGACACCAGCACACGACCCCAACGATTTCAACCTTGGAAAGAAGCACAACCTTGAATTCATCAATATTCTCGTACGTCTATCCCCTGAAAAACTCTGAAATAGCACTAATTTATGTAGAACGACAATGGAACAATGAACAAGAACGCCGGCCGTTTCGAGGGCGAGAAGCGCTTCGATGTTCGTTACGCCGTTGTAGACGCACTCAAGAAGGAGGGTCTGTTTGTCAAGACCGAGCCAAACCCAATGAAGGTGCCCATTTGCTCAAGATCTGGCGATGTCATTGAGCCCATCATGAAGCCACAATGGTGGATGAAGATGGAAAGCCTAGCCAAGCCTGCCATCGAAGCCGTCGAGAAGGGTGACATCAAGATTCGGCCAGCTACTTCCGAGAAGATCTACATGCACTGGATGAACAACGTCCAGGACTGGTGCTTGTCGCGCCAACTCTGGTGGGGTCACCAGATACCAGCCTATTTCGTCCAAATCGAAGGCGCCGAGGGTGACCGCAACAAAGACGAGCTCTGGATTACTGGTCGTACAGAGGAAGAGGCAAGAGCAAAGGCTGAGAAGAAGTTCCCTGGAAAGAAATTCACATTGTCACGAGACGAGGACGTGCTCGACACATGGTTCTCCTCTGGTCTGTGGCCATTCTCCACTCTGGGTTGGCCAAACCAGACCGCCGACTTTGAGAAGCTCTTCCCCACCTCTGTCCTTGAGACCGGTTGGGACATTCTCTTCTTCTGGGTCGCTAGGATGATTTTCCTATCCCTCTACTTGACTGGAAAAGTTCCTTTCAAGGAGGTCTACTGCCATTCTTTGATTCGTGACTCTGAAGGCAGGAAAATGTCAAAGTCGCTCGGCAACGTTGTGGACCCTGTAGATATCATGGATGGTATCACCCTTCAGAAGCTCCACGACCAGCTCCGCGCAGGTAACCTGGATCCCAAGGAGTTGACCAAGGCCGAGAAGTACCAGAAGACCGCCTTCCCTCAGGGTATCCCCGAATGTGGTGCTGACGCGCTCCGTATGGCACTTGTCGGATACACCACTGGTGGAGGAGTAAGTTTGTCTTATCGTTTCTTATTATATGCAATACTGACGTCTTCCTAGGACATCTCGTTCGACGTCAATGTCATTCACGGATACAGGAGATTCTGTAACAAGATCTACCAAGCCACCAAGTATGTCATTGGACGCTTGGGAGAATCCTTCACGCCGCAGGAGAAGGTCGGAAAGAGCGGAAAGGAGTCTCTGCCTGAGCGCTACATCCTCCACAATCTCAACGCCGCGGCCAAGAAGATCAACGACCACCTGGAGGCGCGCGAGTTCAGTCTTGCCACCCAGGTTGCGTACAAGTACTTCTACGTCTACCTTTGCGATACATATATCGAGAACAGCAAGGCCATCTTCGATGAAGGTAGCGAAGAGCAGAAGGAAAGTGCCAAGCAGACGCTTTACACTGCCATCGAGGGTGGCTTGAACATGATTCACCCATTCATGCCCTTCCTCACGGAGGAGCTCTGGCAGCGACTGCCCCGAAGGCAAGGCGACAAGACACCTTCCATCTGCATCGCGCCTTTCCCACAATACTCTCAAGAGTTGGAAGATGAGACCGCAAATGCCGAATACGAGCTTCTCGTCGACAGTGCAAAGGGCCTTCGTTCTATGACTGCGGAGTACGGCATCAAGGATAGTGCGTCCACATACATCCAAGCCCTCGATGATGGCACACACTCTATTCTCTCTTCCCCCACATCTCTCCCCTCGATCCGATCTCTGGCGGGCAAGACTGTATCCGAGATCAAGATCCTGTCACCCTCTGAGGCCGCGCCCTCTGGCTGCGCCGTGTACACAATCGGCACATCAGCGACTGCGTACCTCGACGTCAAGGGCCGCATTGAGCTCGACAAGGAGATCACAAAGGCCCAAGACCGCCTTACAAAAGCCAACGAGACAATTACACGCCAGAAGAAGATTATGGATAACGACTGGGAGCAGAAGGTCAGTGATGTGGTCAAGGAACAGGAGAGGGAGAAGCTCAAAGCTGCGGAGCTAGAGGCGAAGAATTGGGAGGCGAGCATTGCGCAGTTTGAGAAGATGAAGATTGAGTAGGTAGATGTATGTGTGACAGAGAGAGTAAGAGATGTATGATGAGAAAGCACAAGTGCACCCAATGAAGATTTTCATTATTTCGTAGTAGAACAATGTGAATCAAAGATGAGAAGAAATTGGGGGCGGAAAAAAAAGAAGAAGATGGCGTTTTAACTTCATTTGATCTAAATCTGAATCTGCCTTGCCTTGCAATCATATTTGTTGTACATGTTAAAAAGCCTTGCATCATCTACGAAGAAACGCATGTCGCCCATTTTGTTCCAACCTTGGAAAAGAAGAAGAAAAAACCCCTCTTGGGTTACTTCGTCTGGCCCCTTGTCCTCCTTTCCTCGATAGCAAGACGGTTTGTAATCTGGGATATTTGTGTGACGGGGGGGGGGGATAGGTATACAACTGGTGAATCAAGAACACCGTAGGGGAAAAAAAAGAGCAGAGAGGGAAGAAGGAGGTACATAGCAGTCAACAAAACCCCCCTTCCAATCAAGAATGGGGTTTGGGAAAAAAAAAGATAAGTTAGTAAAATGCAAACATTTTTTTTTTCACGACGCAGCCCCAACTTCCACCCCTTTACCAGCACCAGTCTCCATACTGCCTTCACTCTTAACCACCAATTGCGTTGTGTTTCCTGCCATCTCGTTACCCAGAACCTCGGGCCTCCATCTAAGCAGCAACTTGCGTGCACTCGGCTTGGCCCTCTCGTTCTCCGCCCACATCTCGGCGAGGACATCAACGACGATTTTGCGGACTGGGGGACGAAACATGTACAGGTAGTGCAGAGCGTTGCAAGCGAGATCGATGCGCTCGGGGTCCTCTGCCATCTTTTTCAGGCGAACAAGGAGCGTGTAGTCTATTGAAGGGATTTCGGAGAGGAAACGCAGGAGGATTTTATCCGTGTGCTCAATGTATGGGAGGATACCGTCGACGAGGCGGAGGGCGCAGCGGTGGTAGTTTCCTCTTGGGGGTTTCGAGGGCGAAATGCCATTTACCGTGCCGTTTGGTAAGGGGGACTCGGCCGATTGAGCGAGGATCATGTCGTTGTACCATTCTTCGTTGAGCCAGGAGATTGCGACGTCGATGCGGCGTTTCCAGTCGTAGAGGATGTATTGGTAGAGGGAGTCACGGATGGAGTCGCTGATTTTGGGGGCGCTGCTGCTGCGGGTGGTGCTTTTGACGGCGTACTCATCTTTGATGACATCGGTGGGATCGTCGAGACCGGCGCTTGCGCGCGTGGCGAGGCGGGTTAGGATGGTGACCCAGGCGTCGCGGCTGTAGTCTGTTGCTGCTAGACGGTTAAAACCACCTTTTGTGGCCTTGCTCTTTTGCGTCTCATCTACACTGCTCAGCATGCCGAAGGCGCGATGTACGGTCATGTCACCGTACTTCTGGACATCCTGTTCGGATAATGGAGGTGCTTCGGGCAGCTTGAAGGGTGCTAGAGCAGTGGATGGGCCTTGTTGAGTTGGGAAGGGATTCGAAGGGATACCGTCAAGCTTGTTCATGATTTGCTCAGCATCTTCGGGTTCAAAGTCGGGTTCATATTCCTCTTCGTCTTCTGCGGCGGGAGCGCTTGGTGGTTGAACCGGTTGACTTGCAGCGTTTTGGCGCAGTGTTTGATACCGAGCGCGGACGGCCTAGATATATGTTAGTATGCTACACATTGATCTAGTATATGTTCAAACAAAGACCACCACATACATTGATTGCTTGCTCAAGCTTTTGCGGGTTGACCGACTGCAGGACTGGCACCACAATCCTGACCAACTGCTCAGGATCTTTGAAATTTTGCACATCAAAGTTTGCAGTACTGCCCTCAGAGTTGAGCGTATACAATTGCCGCCAGCTGATTGGGCCAGGCGGCAGAGGCTGAACAGAGGGTGTACGACTGGGAGGCTCAGCCACAAGTCGCTGTCTCTTGGCGTGATCGAGGCCATCGGTCGGCTCAGCGGGTGCTGGTCGTTTACGATTAGATTCCTCAAAGAATTCTACACGGGCACGATGCATGCGTTCCAGGAACTGTTGTATACGTCCATTGATTGGGTTCTCGGGGTTCCTGTAATGGTAAGTACTTGAGATGGCATGACACCCTGAGGCTGACATACCTCTTCATAATGTTGACGAGCAACGCCCTTGTTGTACGCTCAATCGACTTGATAATGACCTTGTTCTTAGGCGTCATTGGCGAATTGGCAAGCTTCAGGGGGTTGAAGTTGAAAACACTGTTCAAGATTTTATTTGCAGAATTTGGTCGGCGATGGATCAGCATGCCCAAGCTGTTCAATGTGGCAGTCACGAGCAGTCCGTCACTGGTCTGTGTTAGATGCATATCGGCAGTCTGTGACTGTCTATCTAACCTGTGATCCCCATGTATGATATCCAATAGCCTGTCCAGTAGTCCATGTCCTTCAGCCTCGAGGCTTGCATACGGTATAAGCGGGTGATCGCGGGGCACAATAGAGAGGGAAATGTCGTTGTGATCGGCGCGCTGCGAGACATGAGATTTTGTGTTTCTACGTCGGGGAGGTGGAGGAGTATCTACCCTAGGGTCTGCCACGCCTGGTGTCTGTACCAGGACGACTTGTTGGAGGAACTTGACGCAGCATATACGCACGCCGGGGGCGGCCGAGTCCATTCGTCGCAAAATGTTTGCTTTGATGCCAAACATGAGGCCCCAATTTTGCGAATCGCTGGGGTCGGAGACACTGGGCACATGCAAGAATAAGAGCGTGTTCGCATGAAGACAGTCAAGGAGCATGCGAGCATAAAGGGACCTCAAGAATGCGCAGGGCATGTTTGACATGCGAGGGGCTCTATCTGATGCGAAGGATGGGGGGTTTACTTACGTATGCTTGTATACGAGCGGATACACGCTCGCGGCCGCCTGGATGGCACTCTTGATGACGCTCTTGTCATCGACATTCTCCAGGTAGGCCTTGAGGGTAGCTAGCACCGAGGGCGCGCTGCTCTGCTTGGCCTCCTGGGGCCATGCTGGCGACGCAAAGGCCTCTGCCAAAAACTCGGCACCCCAGCGCTGTATCTCGATGCTCTGGTCTTCACTGTAACCGATGATAGGGAGCACGCCCGGTATAATGGTAGGATAGTATCTACCGTCGCCTAACGCGAGCGACCGGGCCGACTCCATCTGTTGTATCGTTTGCGAAGTCATGGTGATGGTGGTGGCAGCACACTGGCGGCGCGCCTTGTAGTGAAGAGTACGAGTTGGAGTTGTAGGAGGCGTAAGGCTTGCTTACGCGCGCGACGCAACAGTCAAACTAAGAGCGCGACAAAGACCTGACGTGTACGGCCAAAAGGCGTCCCATTCCCCACAATGCTAGCAATTACAAAGAGGCTGTAGAGAGCGTAGAGAATGAAAGGGGGGACGGGGATGTGGATGTGGATGGGGACGGGGACGGGGGTGATGATGGTGTTGACTACAGCTACGGGCGCGAGGTGAGTGGCGCAGGGTTGACGCTGCGACTGCGATGATGTGCGCCCTGCCCGCCAAGACGCCCGCCTAGCCCTATGCATCATCTCACCACCATTTCTTTCCCCGCAGAATCCGCCTGGGAGCCTCACAACACCGCCGCCATGGGATAGTAAGTCTGCGTGCTATATTCGTATTGTTTCTGCCGCGCATGCTAACATTGACCCCAACAGCAAGCCATTCCGCTCAACCTACTACGATGACCGCATGCGCGCCTCGCCCGCCCTGCTGCGAGCCCGCGCGCCCTACCTGATCAAGAACACCATCACCGGCTTCGCAATCTGCTCGCTTGTCATTGGCATATGTGCGCATCCTCTCCTTGCCTCTCTGATTGGAGTGCTGACTCATCTTTTTGCAAGACACGTACACCATCAATGCCATCTCTCAGGACGAGTTCGAGGATGTCATTGTGCCAGACAAGCCGCTGGACAGATCCGCTCAGCCTACCACCCAAGCCCTTCAGCAGGCCATGGACGCACGCAAGTAAAACAATCATCTGCCTGTATATTGGTGTAAAAGACATGTATGCATTGGGCTGGCGCTACAGGAATCATTCGGGAAATACCACTTTTTCGCCATTTTTGAATCACACTGTGCTCAAGACTGTCCGTTCCTGTATCCCACTTGCACATTCAAGATCAACATGACTGGACGATAGCTACGGTAGCGATCTCCGCTCCGCCTTGCACCCACTCCACCGACCAATCATGTGTGCTGCAACAACTCCTCCGTGAGGACCATGGAATGTCTTGTGGCTCTATTGCTTTTTTGTCATACGCCATTCCCACATCCTCAAGGACTGCTAGCAAATTGGTCTTGTAGGACCGGAATATCTGCAATCCGCATGATCCTCTGGCACCAACAAAATGCAGGCCCTATCATGATAGCCGCTTAGTCACGCGCATTCATATGATAGTTACGTTTCCGTTGACTTCACAGCTTCTTTCTGCGGTATGAACGTCGCGCTTACAGCAGTCTGGAAGATTTTTGTGTGATGTTTCTTGGGTCATTTTCCCACTTTCTCCTCCATATCTATCCTTTATATACTCAAAACTACGTCCCACAGCTCTCTCATTCTCAAAGCAACAGATCCCTTCAGGCAAACAAAAGCAAGGAATCGGATTCCAGTAGGTGACAAAACATGGCCGGGTGTCCAATGCTCATTGTACCATTACTAATTCCCATAACAGCCTGCAAACAACACCACAGCTAGCATCGCTATGGGTAACAAGGGCGAAACTACCGCCATGGACTCTAGAAGTCCTAAGGGCAATTCTTCTATCTGGCGGTTGCTCCACGTCCTCAAGCACGCCACCAAGAACCGACAAACCGACACAGACTCCTTGAAAAGCAAAGCCAGCGACCTGCCTTCTATGCCCAGCACACCTCAAAGCAGCAGCACCGAGGGCAACACAGTGCCCACCCGATTCAATGTGGATGAGTTCAGAATGCGCGCTCTACGCAGCAACACATTTTCAGCTGTGCCCCCAAATTCCAACCCAGTCATTGCATCAGAGTCTACCCGCCAAACCCTCTCCAGTGTTCCCCAGAACGTCGCATCCAAGAATGATTCCCAGGCATCCGTTGCCCCCAGCAGTACCGACACCCCTACAGCTTCTAAACCTCAAAAGAGCCGCAAGTCACGCAAGCCCGCCATGATCACTCCTGAACTCATGCAGCAGATCCAAATCTCCAACAAGAAGCGCAGTGGCGGTGCTCTGCGGGATAATGGTGAGCTTCGCAAGAAGAATCTGGGAACTGCGACTGTGACGAATAGAGCCAAGGCTGTTGTCGCTAGCCCTCTTCGGTGGTCAGAGGAGTAGACAATGAGGTCAAGGGTGTTTGAAAATTAGAGGGGAAAAATCAAGGGAGAAATTGCTTCAGGGTGGCGATGAGGGCTTATATTTGCTGACGAAGTGGCGTATATGGTCAGCCCCTCTTTCTTTCTAGCCACTGTATCAGTGGTTGGGGAACAAACTGATGGTGTAATCTTTGTGCTGTATCACTCGATATTATAATTCAATAATACCCTACTACCATTTACTAGAACTTCCCCAAGGCATCCCCATCCCAGATACATCTATCATCCAACAGCACGCGGGTAATTTGCAAGTCTACGTTCCTAAAAATAACTTGATTGAGCACAACCCACGACTTTGAACCATGTACTGACTTATCAACCTGTCTCAACACCACCACTACCCTCACGCCGCACTCTAAACCCCACACCCGGCAACCGACTCCTCAACAACAACGAACTACAAACCACACTAACACTGCTCAGCGCCATAGCCAAAGCAGCCCACACCGGATCAAGCTTAACATGCTTCTCCCCCGTATGCCCCATCGCCATCCCAGCATGCATCTCCATCACTTCCCCCTTCCCACCCCCTCCTCCAGTGGTAGTAATCGGATACAGCACTCCGGCCGCAATCGGCATAGCCACCATATTGTACACAAGCGCCCAGCCGAAATTAAAATAAACGCGTCGAAACACCACCCGCGAGAGATCCAACAGCGTCAAGATGGTAGTAAGCCGACTGTTGATCAGGATAAAGGACGAAGAGCTCAATGCAATATCCGAGCCCGATCCGATTGCGATGGATAAATCGGCGGTGGAGAGGGCAGGCGCATCGTTGATGCCGTCGCCCACCATGGCTATTGTTGCGCGTTTCTGTGTCCTATTGCTGCTCCTACTTCCCGTTCTGGCCTTGAAGGCGGCGAAGAAAGAAAAGGGGAGACAAGAAGAGCGTTTGGGCGGTTTACACAGCGTCTGCTGGAGGTATTTTATTTTCTGTGCTTTCTGCTCTGGTAGCACGCCGGCGATGATGTTGGAGGACGGGATGCCGATTTGGGCGCCAACGGCGTTGGCGGTGGTGGGGTTGTCGCCGGAGAGCATCCAGGTGGATATGCCGCGGGCGTGTAGGGCGGCGATGACGCTGTGGGCTTCGGGGCGGAGGGCGTCGGCGATGGAGAAGGCGCAGGCGAGGTGCCAGGTTGGAGCTGGGAGGGTTTCGGTGAGTGCGGTGGAGAGGCTTTCGCTGGAGGAGTGGGAGGGGAGGAGGGTGCATGGGGGCATGAAGAGGGCTGCGAGGGCGATGGAGTCGCCGCGGGATTGCCAGGTTGAGAGGAGGGTGGCGGTGGAGGGGGGGATGGGGACGGAGTGGTCGGTCATGAAGGCTTCGTTGCCTACGATGGCGGTGATGTCTTGTCCGTCGACTCGGAAAGTGCCTTTTAGGCCTTTTCCTGGTACTTCGTCGATGTCGACTACTGTCGGCGTGATGTGGTCTTCTCTGTTGCAAAAAGAGACGAGTGCACGAGCAATGGGATGGTTGCTGTTTTGCTCAAGAGCCTTGACAAGACCCAGTACCAATGAGCTGTTCTGATCTCCAGAGAGCTGATGGTTCGTCACTGCTGGATCACCGCCTTGAGTAAGGGTACCTGTCTTGTCGAAAACGATACAGTCAAGTGAACTGGCTTCCTGAAACGCCTCACCTCCGCCTCGGACGAGTATACCGTGCTTTGCAGCTAGGCCACCCCCGACGAAGAGCGCAGTTGGAGCTGCGAGGCCGATACCGCAGGGACAGGCGATAACGAAGACGGCGATGGCGAATCGAAGAGACCAGAGTTCCCATCCGCCAGCACCCTCATTCTTCCAGTCATTTGGAATAGCTCCCGTCTTACCGAGAATCAGCCAAACCAGCCAAGTCGTGATTGCAACAGAAATGACAAACGGTACAAAATGTGAAGTGATAACGTCCGCCGCCCTCTCAACGGGTGCACGTCGAGACTGACCCTCGCGCACAGCATTGATGATCTGATCCAGCATCGACATCCCTTCAATACTCGTAATCTTAGTCTGAACAGGAGACCCCTTGTTCATCGTACCCGAGTACACCGTATCACCCTCTACTTTCTTCACCGGGCGGGACTCCCCCGTCAAACTCGACTCATCAAAACTCGAACTTCCCTCTACAATCTCGCCGTCAAACGGCGGCGACGCACCATGGTGGACTCGAACTACGTCCCCAATTTCAAGCAGATCGGTAGGGATTTTGTCGTCTCCTTGTTCAGAGTCCACAAGGATGGCTTCACTGGGACGCAGTTTCCCCAGCGACGTAACCGCATCCCCCGTCTTCGCCTTGCTATATGCTTCCAAGAAGCGCCCAATAAGCAAAAACATGGTCAGAAAGACGACGGCATCGAAATACGAATCGTGCATTGAGCCGTGCGACATTTCCGTAGCTGCCAGCGCGAGTTCTGCAATGGATGCAAGATACGCAATTGTAGTGCCAAGCGAGATGAGCATATTCATGCTTCCGAATCTTGTAAAGCGATGCAGAATCGGTGTTCGGCTTCCCGGTCGCCACAAAGCTTTTATTTCCTTGATTGCGCGCCGGTGGAAGGTGTCCGCTGCGAAGAAATAGACGGGTGTTGCGAGAATGAAGAGGGCCCAGCTTAGTCTCGTGACATTGCCTGCCCACATGGGCTGCATGAGGTACTTGCGGATGGGGTTCTCGGCGCTGATTAGGCTCATGAAGACGATTCCCAAAATGAATGTGGGGATGGCGATGATGACGCAGAGTGTGAGCCGGAGGAGGGTTCGTTTGCGTTCTTGTGCGTGCATTTGGCGTGCACGTTCCTCGATCGTGGGCGGGTGAAATATTGAGGGGGTGAAGACTGGGTGTAGGTTGGAAATAGTGGAGATGATGTGCCGTATTGTGAAGGTAGGGGGGGCCGGTACATATCGAATGTGTAGGATTGGGTTTTCGAGGGATATAGGGGGGTCTTCGAGTACGAACGTTTGCTTATCTGCAAAGGCTTCCTGGAGTCCTTGTATGATATTCGACGGGCAATGTTCGCAGAACATACCATCGATACGTACCGCAATTGTTCGTTCAATTGCTTGGATTGCTGGTGTATCGTCCAGGATAACGTGGTCAAGTGTGGCCGTATACCCAACATCTTCAATGATTTCTTCGATCTCTGAGAGATGTTCCTTTCCGGTAAAAACGATGGTTGCACTGTTTGAAACTAGATTGACGTCGATCGACTTGATCCAGGCATGCGGTTCCAGTGCCTGAGTCACGTTGCCGACACATGACGAACAAGTTAGACCACCGAGTAAATAAGTCGCACGCCAAAGCTCCGTTTTTTGTTTCGATGGTTTTGGCTCTGACGCCGTATCTTGAACTTCCTCCAACTTCTCTACTTCGACATCGAAGCCACAGTCTTCAATCGTCTCCACAAGCTCGTCACACTTTGATTTTCCAGCGAAGACAACCACTCCGCTGTTTGTAAGGAGGTTAATGTTGACTGATTGGACCCACGCGTGTGCTTCAACGGCGTGCGTGATGGCAGACACACAGGAGCTGCATGTCATTCCAGTGATGGCGAGTGTAACCTTGTACGTCGTGGTAGCACCTGGAAACTCGACGGCGATAAAATCCTCAGACACAGGCGTTTTCAGTTCGGGCGATGAATCGTCAACCATACTCGTTCTACCGAAGGTTGTGATGGATGAGTGAGGTCCACATGTTGGTGCATTTGCGCTGTGTACACTAAACGCGCCTTGCTCTTTCTTCAACTCCTCGCATTGTGCCAAGGGTTCTTCTTTCTCTTTCATTGCGTATTCCGAGTCGCCGGACCCTTTAGCGTACTACGACCAGTAACTCACAGCACGCTTCAAGATGGCGTGCTATTCCCCACTATTGCTCTCACCCTCCGAGTTCCTATCCTCGACTAGATATCTGGTCGCTTTGTTATTTGAGAGGCGCTGTGAATTTGGGATCTGTCGATTCCTAATGCATCAGTAATTTCGTCAACATCAAGCGACGTGTTATGGCGCAGTGTACTACAAGAGATAAAGTAAAGACTATGGTCAGAAGAATGCCATGGCAAAGAAGTGAGACAGGTGATGAGAAGGACTAAATAGGCAGGCATGGCAACGGAGCCTTCTTATTTGGTCCAACGAACTTGACTGATCAACCCACACATTCAAGACTTAACATCGGGTTCGAGCATTGTTTGTAAGGCTAGGGCTGCACTAGTCCACATGTAGGTGGTGATGCACGCGCTCGTGTCACGGAGGATGCATCGTGTCAAGATGCCGAGTCGGACAGTGTTGAGCGATGGTTCATTAGGTCATTATGCGTCCAACCAAGAACATGTTCTGGCTGAACATTTTGTAATCATGTTGATTCAAGGTCAGCCAGCATGGTAAGGCTAAGCTTGTGCCCATTAGTGGTGCTAATGCGCCGCGAAAAAGCAGTTCAGTCAGCGTTTCAACTCGGTGGTTTGTTCCGCATAATCTTGGGGAAGCTATCCGAGAAAAAGAACAACCAGTCGTAGATCTCAAAAAGTTGTTGACTGCATGAACCTGCATGAGTTCCTTGTAGCTCTCGCGGCATGTTAAAATTACATCCGAAGGACTTTTCCTCAACGAGGAAATTTGATGTGCTTTTATCTCAGGGCATCTACTCTTCTTTCAACCCGCATTAAGAAGTTGGGCATTTCTTTTGGCCAGCACAAGATCACATAATGAACATTGCGATGTCCCTTTTTAAATCCACACGCAAACAACTAGGTGTAAGCAAAGGGGAACAAAAAGGGCATCTCTTCGAAAGAGACCGGAAAGAGCAATCAACAACGAGCGATCACCAGTCAAAGCAGATGGGTCAGTTGCGATGGTCACAGGTAGCTAGCAATCAAAGAAGCGAGAGCAATCAAAACACTTTAAATATATAGTACTAAAGTTGAACATCTCGTCATAGCCGTGTTTGACCTATCAGTATGATGTTACGCGAATGCTGTGCGACACTGACACGTACACCCAAGAGGAATGAGTATATAGTAGGGCGTAAACCAATACCAATCCCTGAGGAGCTACTCAACTTTCAGATAAAAGAAAATGAACTTTGGCACTGGGCGATATCTCACTCGGGCCGGTGATGTTAAGAGGATTGCTATTTGCTTGGTCTTGAGTATCGTGCCAATCATCTTGTCGAGGTTTAATTTGTACGTAAGCTCAAACTGGGATCAAATCTGTTTTGCCATTGGTCTCCATACGTAAGTCGCGGAGCGAGCGTCGTTATTTCCTATCTAAGAACGCCAAGTAAAGGATAATCGGGTACACGGAAATGGAAAGTGATGCAACTCTATAGTCTAATGTAGAAAGCTCACAGTCATCTGATGCATCGAGTTTCATAACAATGAAACATGCAAAGAGTGAGTTGTAGGATAAGATGGCCTGCTGTTCTACAGCTCATCCTTTTCCTTTTCCTCGACGTCGACGTCGTCTCTTGAGATGCTTTTCGCCTCGAAAGTATCTCCTTTCTTTGCAACTCTTCGCAATCGAAAGACTCGCGCAGCGTGACTCTTTACGTCCGCTTTTAGTAACCCGCCGGCTCGGGCTACGCCAATCTTCTCACCGAACAGTCGCGGATCTTCTTGTGCAAGACCAGTAGCGTAAGGAATTTCGGTGGCATTGTACCAGTTCGCCTTCGATAGTACTGCTTGCTTCTCTGAACTTGTCTTTGCCCCAAGTATCTGTTCAGCTGTCTTCTCAGACATGCGATGCGCCCAAAGATCATGGATGTCCCAGTCGTACTTGTTATGTGGTGCTGAGCCTCCAGGTCCGTAGGGGATGAAAATCTCCGCAAGTGAGACACTCATCTCAATGTCTTTTCCACCAGCATTCAGGAGAATCACGACTTCATCGCCATTGTGCAAATGTCCAGCCCACACGTGCGTCTCACCGACGCCCCACTCGTCTTTGGCGACGCCCTCGGTATCGCGTCGGACTCGCGTTACACTTCTACCATGAGGGTCTTGGCTCAGCGCGATGATGGCGGGATTGTTGATAATGGTAAGCGCAGAAGCTGGCATATCGCGCAGGTCGTTACCAAGGAACAATGGAGATTTAAGGGCTGCCCAAAGCGCAAAGTGTGCTTTGTACTCTTCGTCGGTCATACCACCCTGTCCGACTTCGAGCATATCGAGGTCACTCCAGCCACCAGGAATGCTACGGTCTGCAAATGGCGCGACCTTGTTAAGAATAAAGAGTACCGAGCAGTGGGTACCTGGTGCTACACAATTGACATCACCTGGCGCCACGGTGTTGCAGCCACAGAGATCGTCGGGTCGTGTAAATGAATCATAGATGTCGCCTGTAATGCGCCAAGAGTTCGAAATAGACATCCCCCACTATCGTCAAAAATTAGTACACGCTCGTTTTGGCACCAAGCATGCAGAAGCGCGATGTATCTTACTGTATGAACCAGGTCTTCACCCCAATTGCAAAGATTGAACAAGATGTTCCGCCCTGTTGCTTTCAGGGCGTCTGCCATGGTCTTGAAACGATTGAATGATACCGACGGAGTACCAACGCGGCCCATGTGATAGCAGCTGTCATACTTCAGCATGTCCACTCCCCATCCAGCAAAACTCTTCGCGTCATCAATTTCGTGGTCGAGCGAGCCGGCTACTTGGTTTTAGTATGACAATATGGGATGGGTGATGGGGAGGTTGTCATACCGAACCTCGCGCAAGTCATTTCGCCAGCACTACTGTACATTCCAAACTTGAGATTGCGGTCATGAAGATGGTTCGAAATTGACTTTAAGCCATTGGGAAACTTGTCCAGTGCCGGCTGAAGTTTTCCGTCCTTATCGCGGCCCTTGGGGTTTTGCCAGCAATCATCCAGGACGACGTAGTTATAACCCAGGTCTCGCAGGCCCAAGTCGATGATCTGGGCCGAGGTTGTGAGAAGCAGGTTTTCGGAAACATCGCATCCAAACGCGTTCCAATTGTTCTTTTGAAATCAGCAAGTGAATCAGATAATGGTCAGAAACATCATACCCAACCCATTGGCGGTGTGATAGCAAGGCCATTGTTTACGGCAGCTGCGATGTTGGCTAGAGCCGTGACGACGAGGATGCTGCTATATGAGGGAGGCATGTTGGAGAATTGGTATTGTCTCTCCAACAATGCAGACCAGATTAGCAAGTTGAGCAGACTTAAATGGCTACACCTCCCATCAGTGAACGCGAATCTTTCTACTAGATTACCAAAGTTGAAACTCCGATGTGGGGGTGCTCCGCACGTGTCTGGGAAAACTGATGGGTTTTCCGCCGCTAACGTTACCGAAGCATTTCATCCCCGCCTTTCGTATCAATTGGATCCTGGGACCTAGACTTGGCTCAAATTCATACCATTGCCACACATTCGGCGTGGTAGAGGAAGTCTTTTTCGTCTTTATAGGGATAGACCTGAGTAGCAAGAGAGCGGTGACTGCTTGCTCAATGCCAGCAGCGCCTCGTACTCAGGATCATGGTCTCTCGGTTCAAGCTCCATATGAGGGGCAAACTGGACTAGAAAGCGTAACAGCCACCGATCGAGTACAAAACTGGTTTCTTTGCTTCGAAGACATGTCTGGTGGAACGCTCGAAGACGACTCATAGCACTATCCACACTAGGCCAATATGCGCGCAACCGGAGCAAAATCTCAAAGTTGCGCTCCAGTCTTGCTTTTGAAATTCGTATCTCTGCTTCATCAGCGGAAAAGAGGAGGGTATGGATCTGCACAGTAGATGCAATGACGAGGACGTGTGACACTGCCGGGTACATGACTTCGCTACCAGGTGTCGCTTGTGAACGATACACCAGTGAGCAAAGCCGCGCAGCATGCTGTTTGCATGCGTCTGCATATCGCCCAGACTCTGCTGACGCCTCAGTCGACAGGGATAGAAACTGGTAATTCAGGAGTTGACCATAATGGTAATATCCTAGATACACGGCCACAAACATACGCCCATGACCCCGTGAGGCAAAGTACTTGAAGTTGTCCGGCGTGTCACGCAAATGTTGCGGGAGGTTTTCGAGCCAGACGTCCAAGTCACGTGACAACTCGCGCATGCCCTTCTCCAGTGGCAAGCCTTCGAGGTGGTCTGACACGCATGTGCGATTGAAATCAATGATCTTGGACAGGATCCTGTTGAGTTTCACCATTTCAGCCATGAGAGGAGAGGATACAGATGTCGGATCGATGCACCCGTGTTCCGAATCGGTGCCCATAGACGAGAAAGGAAACTCGTCAACTGGCAGAGGCACAGCGATATCAAATGGCATTATGCGCGGCAATCGGACTGCAGTTGAAGACCAAACATCGACCATACATATGGTCCACCATATCCTTATGTTGACTTCACGCTCTATTAGGCTGGCAACTGGTCGGCTTGGCAAGTCGAGGGCGAGACACATGCGCCCAGCCATGCTGTAATAGATATTCTCGACATCGGTCTGGCCGTTGGCGGCAGCGTATGCGCCTAGAAGCAGGCAGACTTGAACGGTGGTGGGGTGCAGATGACGGATGTTAAGCAATTCCTCACTTCGTATCCGGTAGGGTTCGCCCCGTTCCCTCGGGTCTATTCCATGGAATGCTTGGTTGGTTGAAAATCGTGCCGAGAGAGCGAACATTGCAAGAAGCACAATTGCCGGGACTCGGTCATGCATGACATCTTGGAGGAAGGATACGCGATGGTACATGGAGTGGAACTGATCGTGAATGTAGTCGAAATACAAATCGACTAGCTCCCGCCTCAACGCAAGAGGCGGCAGGTCTGGTTCGGTGTGCCTTGGTGGAGGTGCATCATGGTTCTGGGGAAGCTGTGGAGGCGAATTGAGCGATTGCAGCCTAGCCTTGCGCCTTGCATAGTACCCGCCTTCTGGGGGGCCTTGGATACACTGTTGGCCATGTGACGAGCAGTACTCACACACCGCATCCACGCCTTGTGTCGGATAGATGCATTTGCGACGACGCGCCCTGTGACAGCGTCAGCATGAGTGTGTGGCTTGAAGACGCCAATGTAGTCGAGGGCTTACCGGCAAACTGTACAGGCAGACGGTTTGCGCATGGCGTGTCAAGAGCAGCCAAGTCTGGCAACCATGTCTGGGGTAAGGAAAGCGGAGAACTGACGGAAAAGTCGCTGGTGTGAATGAAGACAGTGGCTGGCCACGACTCGCGACAACCTCGGAGCGGGTGAGGCCAGAACAGGAAACTGGTCCGCCAAGCGCAAACACGTGCCATTCCCTCTGCTAGCGGCGGTTTACTGGCGGAAAAGTCTCTCTCCTGGGCAACGGACTGGGCAAGTCTCGTCGGCGCTGCTTATTGGACAGTGCGCTCACCAGAATACTCCATCTTGTCCCCACGAGCACGTTGTATCAACTTCTCCCCATGGTTTTCCCCGCAAGTAGATCTGGCCATGCCCCTCTCGGCCACTACCGAGCACCTGGGCCAACCATTCCCTCGGACTAGCCTTCTCTTATGGCACGACTCTAGCCCAAATCTTAACGCCTGTAGCCATGCTCTCGGTCGCTCTATATATCTACGCCTCGGCCCCATTCAAATCTTTTCTCACTCCAGTCTCCATCACCAACCCTCAATCCCCTGGGACAACTCTGTGTGTCTTGCCCGATCCTCGAGCCTGAACCACCATGGCTTCCGTGGAGAAGACCGAGGCCCAAGTGGCTGAGAATGTCACCTCTCACGCCTCCAATCCCGCCGACGACACCAGCGCCGCCATCAGCAATGAGCAAAACATGACTGTTCGCCAGGCCCTGCGCTTTTGGTCCAAGGCCATTGTCTTCTCCTTCATCATCTCGCTCTGCGTCGTCATGGAAGGATACGATACGAGCTTGATGAACAAGTTCTTCGCCTTCACTCCCTTTCGCAACCGGTTCGGCGACCAGGTCGACGTTGATGGCAACAAGCTGGTCTCTTCGCGATGGCAGACTATCATTCTCAACGGAACTCAGGTGCGAACCTCGCTTCAACCATCAACACTATCAACTAACATGATTTGGTAGGTTGGATGCATCCTTGGTCTCATCATCAACGGCTACATCACAGAATGGATCGGATACAAAAAAACCATGATTGGCAGCATGGTCTTCATGATCGGTGCCGTCTTCATTCCATTCTTCTCTACTGGCCTGGAAATGTTCCTTGTAGGTGGCATCATCCAAGGTCTCCCCTGGGGTGTTTTCCAGACACTTGCCATTTCGTATGCTGCGGATCTTTGTCCCTTGCAACTCAGAGGTATGTGAACCAAAGGCACCGAACAAAATACGGTACTGACTGATATTAGGATACATGACATCGTGGATCAACATGTGCTGGGTTATCGGTGGTCTTCTCTCCACTGGTATCCTCACTGGTCTGATGAAGAACGCGACACAGTGGGGCTACCGTGTTCCTTTTGCCCTCCAGTGGATCTGGCCGATTCCAATCATTGCCGCTACCCTCCTTGCACCCGAATCGCCATGGTGGCTCGTCAGACAGGGCCGTATCGACGAGGCCAAGGACGCAATCCGCAAGATTACCACCCCTACCGAAGGCGTCAAGTTCGATCTGGATGCACACGTTGAGATGATGATTGTTACCGACCAGTACGAGAAGCAGGTTGGAGCAGGAACCAACTACTGGCATTTGTTCCGCGGCAGTGACTTACACCGAACTGAGGTTAGCGCCATGGCATTTATGACCCAAGCTTTATGCGGTGTTCCTTTTATGGGGTTTGGGACGCAGTTCATGCTCGGTGTTGGTCTTAGTGAAGACGATTCGTTCCATCTCACCATCGGTCAGGATTGCTTGGGTCTAGTTGGTTGCTTCATCGCCTGGTGGATCATGACGCGTTTTGGCCGACGACCCATTTACCTCGTCGGTCTCACCTCTATCTTCCTCATCCTTCTAATTGTTGGATTTCTCGGCCTCGCACCGCAGTCGAACAAGAGCGCTGGTCTGGCCGGAGGTATTCTGATTATCCTCATGATTTTCTGCTTCCAGGTATGTTTTTCCGGCTGTGATTTCCATCCTATTTTCTCTAACATGACTAGCTTTCCCTCGGACCCATCTGCTATTCCCTCGCTGCCGAAATTCCTTCTTCACGTCTCAGGGTAAAGACCGTCGCTCTCTCCCGTGCATCTTACAACTCTATCGTCTTCGTCACCAACACCATCATGCCCAAGATGGTTGGTAAGAATGACTGGAACTGGGGTGCCAAAGGCGGATTCTTCTGGGCTGGCATTGCACTGCTCTTCATTGTATGGGGTTATTTCCGTCTTCCTGAGCCCAAGGGCTTCACATACTCTGAGCTCGACGTCATGTTTGAGCACAGGGTTTCGGCGCGCAGGTTCACTCGTGAAGTAGCAGACTCCCTGAAGCCTGCTCTCAGGGATACTGCGTTGCAGTTTGAAAAGCAGAACAACATCGAGCGAGTCGAGTCGCGCGCATAACTTGATGACTGCTTAAGCCGTTACGATGTAATGTTGGTAATAGAGAAGAGACTATTACTCCTCTGTAAGTCTGTAGTTTAGCGGAATAATGCCCTTGATCACTATGAATCTATTATAAGACACATCAGTGAAAAAGTATCGAATCAGGTGAATTTGAAACACGCCTTTACATCGGGCAAAGGTTACTTGGTTGACAGCGTAAGTAGGGGCAGAGGGGCGGTGGCAAAGCTCGGGATTATGTAAGCTATCTGGTTTCAATACATTGTGTGCCCACCTTGAGCAGCAATCACAGCCTCGCATCGGCTCCCCATACTATTATTACAAAGCTTTTGATCCATCCGAAGTTTGACCGAACAAAACGCCCTACTCGCCCCTCCTACTTACGCTGTCAACCAGGTAGCTAGCTAGTAAGCCCCTTGACCAACATCTCACCACGCGCACAAACCGTCAAAATACAGCAAAAAATTGATCTATTTCGCTTTCCAATATGATGCCTACCAGCTACGACGCCACTCATATCGATAAGACAGCCTTACAGCCAAATTACTATACGATCGAGTCGGAGTACGATACTGATGGGTCGGTTTGGGTGGGAGTCGATTCTAATAAGGATATTGGTAACACTGCGGAGCTTGATGGTTCTAGCGAACCAGCTGCTGCGAATTTACTAGCAGCTAGTTCAATAGAGCCATCTGGTCCCGCTGCGTCGAGCAGCGCTGCCTCCCATCCCCAGCCCGCGCAGCACCCTCGCGCAGATGAGTATAGGCCTCGTCGGATCCGTCACGGCGAGCTTCGTGGTATCGGTGAATACAATCTCGATAATCTGTGGGAGCTATCAAGCCGTGATCGTGATCATGCTCCGCCTCCAGAGGCGTTATACGACTCTCACCAACAGGCAAAGGAGGCGGTATTAGCGTGGGGTCGGGCCCACGGCGTCGCCTATCGATCATATGGTTGGACTGACCGAAGGCATGTACGGGAGCGTATAGTTTGTACCCGGCAAGGCACCGTACCCGTCCGGAAACCCACTGAGCGGCCAAGAACAAGGATGGGTGCTACCTCTCAAAAAACTAACTGTAAGATGGGATTCTGGTTGGTTGCAGAAGACTATACCAATCTAGATACCTGTCAGTGGAGAGTAAAATGGATGGAGGGGAGAAAAAGCTTTACTCACAATCACCCTCCGGTGAAGGATACGTCTGCGATCGCGATGTATCGTCGGGCTAGCCGGGCGGTGATCCCAGAGGAGAGGCTGAAGGCGATACGGGCGACTTCGCGGGGAGCGAACCAGGCGCTGCAAATGGTGCGGAGTGAGTTTCCAGGGGTTATAATAACGCGGCAGGATATCAAGAACCAATTCTTGAAGTTATAAAACAAGTGCCCAGCCATCTTATTACAATGCTAACTCCATACAAGTTGTGATTGCGCGCCACTAATGCCGACCCCTGCTTACCGCATGGTCGAATAACCTTTGCCTTTACATCGGTTACTCTTGATAGCGTACTCTAAAGAAGCTTACAACACTTTGGGACTAGATCTAGATCAATGTTACGCATTCGCTAATCAAACGAGCCAATCAAATGCACTTGCAAAGAATCTCAGACAGCATGCGTCTACCTATGCATATTACAGCACAAGCACCCCACTTCGATCAATTTCAACAATCTACATATGTCTACAAAAAACATCCCTGCATACCAACCCCATTACCTCTTCCTTCTCTCTCTCCAGCCATTCAATCCCACCATACCCCAAACCAGACACCCAAGTCTAACTAGAACACTTCTCCATCCACCCTTTACTTGGAATAAATAGATATCTTCCAGCTCCCTCCACATTTCTGCGCGGAATTGCCCGCGCACGGTATAGAGCATTGATTATGACTAACAAGTTCAGCAGGGACATGGAATGTATCACCGCACCAGCACTCCTTGCCATCTCCCAGAGCATAGTAGAGGTAATCCTTGCAGATAGCCGAGCATTTCTGCACCGTCATACTGGAATCAACAGTAATTTTCTCGTGGATGACTCGGCTTTTGCTCTCGACGTAGCAGCCCTGGTAACGGAATGCCCGCGCCCGGCGCTTATTCTCTTCGGCGAGCATGGCGTCGTACTTGGCTTGCTGTTGCCTCTTTATGACTAACTCGGCGTTTGCCGCGTTGAGCTGGTTCGTCAGCGTTTCCTCACGTGCATTGCACGATCTGGTTTGTTCGCTGAGATGGGCAACGGTTTCTTGCTCGCGCACAAGATTGGTGGCGAGTTCTTGCTCGCGCAAGAGACAGGCTTCCTTCTCACTCTGACATTCGGGGGAAGCACCCGGACCAGAACCGGGAATCGAAAGGGCTTGGTTGAATGTTATGCCGTTGGTGCAGGTGCAAGAGCAATCTGGTACGTCTGAAGGACTGGCGCATGAAACGGATGGTATCGCGCCTGGTTTTTGGACGTGTGAGCTTTACTGGTAGGCTCTAAGGGTAGAACGTTTTTTCTCGTTTACTTACCGTTTTGGCACTGGAACGAATTCTGAATGTCGACACTATATGCTGCAGCGCAGAGAGTGGAAAGGAGAATAGCCAGGGAAGACCGCATTGTGTGCTTGTAAAGAGTCTTGATTGTGCTTGTAAAGAGTCCTGATGGGATAAGGATTGTCCCTTCCATCTCTTCGCTCTTATGTTCGCTCTGCTAAAACAAATGTACTTTGATCAACGAGAAAAAAGCATTGAATGCAGAATCAAGGTACTATTACTTATTGTATCTTTTCTTTTCTGATTCAGCACAAGTTTTGGACAGTTGGTAAGTTGTGCAGTAAAAACCAATCCTTTAGAAGCTTGGATTCCCCAAGTGGCTGATCCTTCGCTGCTTCCTATTGTCATCTCCTCTGACTTTTTGGAGGCTTGAGGTCCTTTTTCGATCTATGCCTATTTTGTGTGATGAGAAATCCATAACAAAGCTACCAAGCACGTACATGATGGAAGATTCTTCTCTCGGTGCGCCAAAAGGCTTCTCGAGCATGATCAAGAAGGCGGTGACGTTTGCTTTACGACCAAGCGCTAATTAGTTCAGCATGCAAAACCGCTGCGCTATGGTAGCTTCTGATGTATCTCGCTCATACTTGCTTTTGCGGAAAATTCTAAAAGAGGATAACCACAGAGCAAGGTGGGAGGAACCGTAGTTCCTTAGGATGACATTTCTGAAGTGTGCGGAGAAATCTTCTTTGGTCCGCTGGTGATATTCCAGCCCAAACAGATTCTTTGTCAGGCCCGGCATTCACATGCGAAATGGAACCCTACTGTCTTGGGCGGCTATATAGCATTTCTTTTTGAAATGTGTCGGTCTGAACATGAAGTCATATGGATGCATGCAGGAAAAGTATACTCGATATCTACGGTCAATGCTTCTTTCGAGCTAGCAAGCTGTTCAAGGAACCTAAGAGTGTAGTTATGAAGTTGGGGTGTTAGTTACGTTATACTAGACTGCTTTCTTTTCAGAGCATTGGCGCCACCCCATACCCTTCTCTGATAGTGGGCACTAGTGTCTTCATTTCTTTTGGATTTATACATGTCACCATGCGAGGAGATCGACGGGTAGTATCCAATATATGTTGAATAAGAAAATCCCGTACAACACACTACTCTTACATCCCATTGTGCCAAAGCCGTACAGACTTTTGAACTCCATTATATTACAATACAAAGATTGTTCAGAGAACTACTCTTACACATTTCAAATAGCTGCATTGTAATATCGAGACGATAAAACTGATTGAGGATGCATAGTTCAACGTGTAATGGTCCGGGTAGACCGAGATCTAAGGCTGTACCTGTGCCTTGGTTAAGCAGCATATCCATAATGGGACCGAGAATAGCGGTTGGGATGGGAAACGTTTGCCGATCATGTAAGAAAGATGGACCGTGTGTGTAGTCGTATGGAAGTTTTGACTAGACCCTCCCAGTATACAAACACTTGAGTCGGCCTGATCACCGTAAGCGCTCAATCATGTTAGCTGCATTTAGAGTGTTAGTAGAGTTTGAGCTTAGCATAATAGACTGCTTCAAATAAGCACAATTACAAAATCGATATTCCGAGAGTAAATCTTTTGATAGGAAGCATGATGACTTGAAAAAGCTAATGATTCACATTGTCTAGCTTAGCATCTCAACACAACGCTTCCTGCCATAAAATCATTTGCTTGTCGGTAAATACTTTACTTCTTTGCCCCGACATCGACCAAATCGGACTGCAGCGTAAAAACTGTTGTTTTTCCTTTTTTTAAGGTCAGCGCATGCGTTAGGCATGAACCAGATGCAGGATCATAAAACCAATACCAGTAAGTGCGTCATGCCTTTTTCTGAACCGGAGCTGTATTCGGCCATGGTAAATATGTAAACGGGTTGACAATTCCCAGTGGCTTAAATACAAGAGCCCATTCATACATACTTATCGTACCTCCCTCCTATTACCTATTTCTCTTTTTCTCTCAACACTCTTCGTCTGATCTTCTGTGGTGCTCACCGCACACGCTGAATCAATATCATGAGATACACTCTACTCTCTGCGCTATCGGCTTTGGCCGTGGCGTCGCCGACGCATACAGCGACTACTGGCAACAACATAGCCCCACTTCTATCATCAGACTCAGAGGCTGCAGTGCCTGATAAATACATTGTTGTCTTCAAGAAGGATATCGAAGACCCCTCTGAGCACTTTGACTGGCTGCAGAGCATCCAACCCAACAGCGAGGATCGCATGGAGCTTCGAAAGCGCTCTGGCGACGTTTTTACCGGTCTCAAGCATACATATGAGATGTCTGGCTTCATGGGATACTCTGGTCATTTCGATGAAGAGACCATCAAGTCAATTCAGCGTCACTCTGATGTACGTTTTATCCACGTTTTTCCGCTGGTGTGCAGTATCAATGCGACGAATCTGCAACACTTGTTGGACGACGGTGATGTAGTGCTTAGTTCCCAATCATGGCAACAACCAGGCCACACTAAACAACTCGTCACCATATCAATTGGCTCTATCTCGTTTGCTACATATACATAGTGCTTGACACTAACGTTTTGATAGATTGAATACATCGAACGCGACTCTGAAGTCTATCTCGACGGAAACGACCCTGAGATTCACAACCTTGCCGGCGACGTGCCTATGGTTCAGAAAAATGCTTCCTGGGGCCTTGCTCGTATCTCTCAGCGTAATGCTTTAAAGACGGAAACATACAATGACCATCTATATGCTGCTAACGGAGGTGCGGGTGTTGACGTCTATGTCATCGACTCCGGCACCAACATTGAGCACGTTGACTTCGAGGGTCGGGCAACATGGCTCAAGACGGTCTTGGATAAATCGCCCGATCAAGATACTGGTGGTCATGGCACGCACTGCTCTGGTACTCTTGTTGGCAAGAGGCATGGTGTTGCCAAGAAGGCAAATCTCTATTCCATCAAGGTCTTTGGCGGCGGAATCACAACCACGACTGCTGATATTATTAAAGGTATTCAATACGCGGTCCAATCACACGAGTCGGCCGTCAAAAGCGGAAAAAAGGGCTTCAAAGGCAGTGTTGTCAATATGAGTTTATCATCCTCGGGCTATTCTCACGCAGAGAAACAAGCTATCGATGCTGCTATACGTAGTGGCCTCCATTTTGCTGTCGCTGCTGGCAACCAGAACACGGATGCATGCACGAGATCTCCCGCCGCCTATGACAACGTAATTACCGTTGGTTCATCGAATCTACAAGAACGGCGCGTTTCCAGCTCCAACTATGGCAAGTGTGTCGACATCTTTGCCCCTGGAGACAGGATTCTATCTACTTTCATTGGTACCAAGTATGCTACTGCTGTTAGGACAGGAACCTCTATGGCTGCTCCTCATGTTGCTGGTCTTGTTGCCTACATGCTCTCTCTTCAGCCTGACAAGAGCTCTGGTTATGCTGGGATTGATATCACACCTCAAAAGCTCAAAGCCAATATACTCGCTATTGGTACCGTTGGCGCCCTTTCAGGCCTCCCCAACGAAACAAAGAATCTCTTGTTGTGGAACGGAGGTGGCTCTTCTAACTTGACTGAAATTATTGGGCGTGGTGGCTACATTGTCAAGAAACCCGGCAGTGTGGGTGGATCTGAATTCAGGAGCTCGGTCCTCTCTCTTTAGAAGACGATTACAAGATAGCTGGCTTCGAGTGCACAGCTACATTTGCGGGTCTACATTTCGTTTCATCGATGGCTGTGTAGCTTATCTGTAACTATCTTGACATGGGAAACGGTATGCATTCACAGTCTCCATACAGACGGACACTTTTGTTGTGCAAAGCATCTAGACTTTATTGTCCCAAAGAACACAGCCTGACTTTTTGATCCATGATGAGTACTCGGACGGTGGATAATGGCCCCCTCGCCACCCGACTGGCGCCCTTGATTTGCGAGAGCTATACCGGCCCTACTAATGACCAGGAATGGAAGCTAGGACCTGCAGGTGCATTCATTAAAAGCTACATAAAGTCTCAATGATCAATGCTACAACGAGCACAGCTGACGTAGTAACACCACGTGCATGCCAAGCACAAGGGCCAAGGCATCTTTCCAGAAACATGCACCGAGCTGCCTTGGTGTGTGCTTCCTTTACATACAGCAGCGCTCATGACCATGCCCAGATTGTTAACCACCGGATGAAGTGCGGTTCGCGGTACTATAGTTTTTCCGTCTTGAGATGCTTCGTGATTCCCCGGCTTCTCCCATCGGCCCGGTCGCCCAAACATGGACGCGGGCAATGGAGGCTGCAACCACACTGCACAGCAGAGTTGCTGACGATGAATTCTAACGTTGGAGAGCACCAGCAACGCCAACGCTTCTGTTTCTCGCAACCAGCTTGGTGTTTCATCTAGAGCAATTGGGGCGAGTTGTGAGCCGCGCGACAAATGACACTACGAATAACAACAGAAGGCTAAAGTGCATAATGTGGGTCACTAGCAGGGGAGGCAGTCAAACTAACACAACCCCAGGTTGCTCAATATCCAGACAAAGTGCCGTGTAGCAGCCTCTACGGCTTTTCATATTGCTCTCGAACCGATGAGCCGGGCGTGGATACCGTTCTTACAGTCGAAACATTCCACCTACCAAGATACAGGGCAGCGTCTGATTGCATCATACAAGAAACTCCCATCCAATTACCTCAGTGTGATCAACTCAGCGTAAAGAAGATTTCTTGACCTTGTACAATAGCAGGAATTGAATGCTTTCCCACCAACCAATCTTTTCAGATGATAACAGCCTGAACATGTTAGCGCATCACACGCAGACACGCTAAACAGAGGACAATAGTGCTTAGAAGAGAAACAAGCACGCCAGCAAAGCCGGAAAAACTATCGAGTGGAAACCATGATTATATTACCCCATCTGCAAAAAGACTAATCCCCAGACCCACATGGGCATACCCCAGCTTTTCGTGCCCCGGGCAATCGACTACCGAGTATATAAAGGATCGCCAAATTGCTTTCTATCGACGTGAAAGTTGCATCATCGCCTACTGGAACAAGAACAACGTAGCGATGCGCTCTTTTCTTCTCGCCGGCGCTGCCTTTGCAGCCTCAGTTCTAGCCCGCAGTCTCCCTCTGTATGAGCACGCTGCTCTTGAGACGCGCCAGAACACCGGCGGTCTGCCCAACACCTTCACCTGGTCATCCAGCGGCGTCCTCGTGTCGCCCAAGCAGGACAGCCGTCAAATCCAGGGTATCAAGGACCCGACGATTATCCAGAACAATGGTGTATACCATGTCTTTGCCAGCACGGCCAAGGAAGCGGGATACAACCTAGTCTACTTCAACTTTACCGACTTCAGCAGGGCCAACCAGGCGCCATTCTTCTACCTCGACCAGTCAGGTATCGGCACAGGTTACCGTGCTGCTCCTCAAGTCTGTACGTGTTTCCCTTTTTTACCCCCCCTTCCCTACGTGACACTAACTTCTAAAAGTCTACTTCGCCCCCCAGAAGCTCTGGTACCTCATCTACCAAAACGGCAATGCAGCATACAGCACCAACCCCGACATTTCCAACCCACGAGGCTGGACCGCCCCGCAAGTCTTCTACCCCAACGGAACCCCCCAGACGATCCAAAACGGCCTAGGAACGACCGGCTACTGGGTCGACATGTGGGTAATCTGCGACACGGCCCTCTGCCACCTGTACTCATCCGACGACAACGGCGGCCTATACCGCAGCCAAACGCCCGTCTCGCAATTCCCACGCGGCATGAACGAGCCCGTGGTAACGCTCAAGGCCAACAAAAACGACCTCTTTGAAGCCTCGACCGTGTACAACATTGTAAACACCAGCACCTACCTCCTCATGGTCGAATGCATCGGCTCCGGCAACTCCCCCGGCGGCCTGCGCTACTTCCGCTCCTGGACCACCCAGTCCCTCACCAGCGACAAGTGGACTCCCCTTGCCGCATCCCAGCAAACCCCTTTCCTCGGCGCCGCTAACACCCAGTTCCCCGCCGGCCGCTGGTCCCAGAGCTTGTCCCACGGCGAGCTCGTTCGCACAAATGTAGACCAGAGGCTCCAGATTCGCCCCTGTGAAATGAGGTACCTCTACCAGGGTATCGATCCTAATGCTACGGGCACTTACAATGCCCTGCCCTGGAAACTCGCCCTTGCAACCCAGACAAACTCCAAGTGTTAGATGCGGAAGAGAGTGTGGGATGTGAAAGAATGCGGGGGGGGNCCCCCCCCCTCCCTTTTTTTTGTCCATTTGTGTGTTTGTCATGTTGCAAAAACATGCTCGGGTTGTTACACCTTATCAAAATCTTTCACGATTTCTAAAGTCAAGTCTTGTTGGGTTATATCCTGGTTTCTTCTGAAAAAGTGGGCTAGTTAGATACAGTTGTTGTTGTTGTTGTTTTTTGAGGAGGGGACTCGGAATTTCGTCGCAGTGTAAATCCAGGCAAGGCAGAGAGAGAGAGATAGAGAACATTTTTCATGGTGTTGTTCTCGTTTTTTTTTAAGAGAGGGAAAAGATTTGAGCTTTTCATCTTCCGGGATTCTTTAGCATTAACTAGGGTAAAAAGAACTTTTTCTTTGGTGGCCTAAAGAAAACACGCACTGATTCCATGTACAAGTAACATCAAAATCACCCAAAAGACACAAGAAAGGTATTTGGCAAGAAGATTGTGACCAGTTATAGTCATCTGAAATCTTCCTCTTTGGTATTTCCTACATACAAGACAGGGAAAAAAAAAGGGAAGTAAGTCACAAAGCACCGTTTTCACGCGGTAACCTTATCGTACGGTCCCCTAAACCCGACCCAATCCAACCTATGCCACACACGCACAGTAAAGTGTTCATGTTTTTCCACCTTCCCCCGCGCCAGACAATGACAATCCGATGATACAAGGAAAATTTCAAGCCAAGTTCCTCTTTCCATTGTCGACGCCCCCTAGTTCACACCAACAAGGGAGTATAGCTAGGTATTTCCACCAGAGCTCTCTCCCCAGTTTGGGTATTAGATTTTAACATACAAGGCAAAAGAAACAAAAGGGGGAAAGGATGATTTTTCTCGAAGCCTTTTCCCCATGCCTTTTTTGAAAACACAAGGAAAAGTAGAAAAGGTCCCATGGACCGAAACGATGCAACAGTGGTATAAACAAAGGAAAAAAAACAGTAAGGAAATAAGAGATTAGGAAAAGGAGAACGAAAAGAGAGAGAGAAGACAAGCGCAAGGAAAAAAAACAGAGAGCAAAAACAGGTATGTTCAAGGTATCAAAGAGGGATATTTCGAACTTAATGTCATGTGGCGAATGAATATTTCAAACATTCATACACATACACACAGGTATAGTAAGTAAGATGCAGCATGTTTTCAAGCCACGAAATAGGTGTTCAAGCCCAAGCACCAGGCAAGGTTCGTTCATGAATATAACAAGAGGAGGAAAAAAAGGTAAGGAAAAAAGAGAAGTGAAAGGAAAAAAACGAGATGAAAAACATTTTGGAAACCAATAGCGACAAGGCAGAGTAGAGACACCGGGGGGGTTGTCGCGAAAACACACATGCCCCTCAAAGTATGAAAGACTAAAAATCAGACAAACCCGAGTCGCTACGCCTAGACGCCGTCGCCAAACGCATATGAAAATAGTCGTGGACACATTTACAAGGTATAGTGCGAGGAGGTGGTGGAGGAGGAGGAGGAGGAGGAGGGTGGGTGGAGAGAAGATAATCAAGACGAAGTCCCAACGCTCTTCTTGCGGCCGAAGATGGCACGGGTCCTGCTCTTGTCGCGAGTTTTCTTCTCAGAGTGGTCCTTGGTGGTAGAGCGGCCGGATCGGACTGAGCGCGCGTCCGAGGCAGAGGAACCGTCGTCCATGTATTTGTCCTTGTAGATCCAACTGTTGCCAACCATGCTGACACCCTTGGCCTCGGCTGCTCGGTAGAATTTGGCAGCCATCTTCATGTTCTTTCTGCAGCCAACACCTTCAGCATAGCAGTAGCCGGCTTCGACGAGAGCATCTGCGTCGCCCCAGTTACCGGCAATCTCGTAGCAGCGGAGAGCAAGCGACTTATCCTGGGCGCATCCCCAGCCGTTGCCATAGCATTTGCCAAGCTCGTAGATGGCTACTGCATACTGGGCGCGGTGCTTCTTCTTCTTCAACTGATCAGTGGGCTGGCCGTTCTTCGTCTGATCTTCGTCGTCGGCGATTTCCAGATGTCCAGAGTCGACGGCGCGTCGCAGCCACTGCAGTGCTTCGGCCTTGTTCTCACGCATTCCCCAGCCGTGTCGGCAGGCCAGGCCATACCAGAACATGGCTTCGGGAAGACCAGCGCGGGCTGCAAGACGGAGATGGTAGGTGGATTTCAGGAGCTCGCCTGCTTCGTGAAGTTCGATACCCATGTCGCAATGCTGTTGGGGAGTCAAGTCGTTAGTAGAGCCGGCAGTTCGAGGGCGGATTGTGCTGTTGCTAGATGTAAGAGAGGGTGCGCCGTGGTTAAAAGAACGCGGCGGCGACTCAGGTGAGGGTGGCCGGGCCTGCGCCTGGTTGGCTTGTTTGGGCTGATCCCACTTAATCTGGCTGTTGAGGAAGTCCTCAACGCCGACAGACCGACGATCGACAGGCCTGCCGCGAGGAAGGTTGAACTTGGTATAAGTGTACGATGGTGCCGGATTGTTAGTGAAATCGCCCGATCGTCGAAAGTCCTCGCTAGCCATGCTCACGGGTGTGTGGACGGTCTCGTTGACGTAGTTTGCAAGGGGTGCATCGTTTGAATCTTGTTGTTGGAGTTGATTATCAAAAGAGGGTCTCATGTACGCACTGTCGTCCGACGCCTGGCGCGACGGTCCATCGGTGGACCTGACATCCAGCGATGGACGCGAGCCTCCACGACTCATGGGTCTTGAGAAGTTGTAGGCTGGGCGTGGGAGGTTTGCGCTGCCGACAGAATAATCAGATGCTGCCGATGGTGATCGAGACATGTTGTGTGTCGCGGCAGGAGCGACGGGGGAATGGGCTCTAGACACGCTGGAGCTGGGAGACAGGTTACGGCTCTGGTGCAGAGAGTCGTATGATCCGCTCAACGACATGTCTTCGACCTCACCGTAGCAGTCACCCTGTACAGACCTGACGCTGGGCGACAGGTGTGGGGAGCGATTGGAGCGCAAAGAGCTGGACAATCGAGGTGGGTGCAGATTGGATCGGTTGTGCGGCGACTGGTGTTGCGAGTCACCGGATGGCTTTCTTTGCGGGCTCAGGAACATTTGCGAGGTTGGAGCCGGGACATTGGGAGTGACGGGTGTGGCTTCGCGGAGTCCAAACTGAGGCTCGACAGATTCGGGCGAGTGGGACCTGGGAAGATCAAAGTAGCCGCGGGGTGGAGTGGCAGGACTGGCCTCTGCGATAGTGGCCATGGGGCTCTGCAGAGGGCCGACGGCATACTGGGGGTCTAACTCATCGTTGCCGAACTGAGGGTAGTGGGACTTGTGCCTCTCCATGACTTCCTGACGCGGAGACGGCTCGGGCCGTGGGGACTTGAATGGACCCGCATCTTCGTTGGGCGAGTTGACGGTCGAGTTTGAGAGAGAGGAAAAGTATCCAGGGCGGTTGCCAAACTCATTCTGGATGGTGAGAGGGGCCAATCGGCTGAGGCGACGGCCGGTCTTGTCCTGCTGCTCGAAGCGCTTTGCGAGCAGTCTGCCCTGGAGGGCAAGGGCGTCGAGGGGAGAGAGAGCGGGGGGCGCTTCGCCAGTGCGTGGGCTCGGTAGGTCAGATATGAGCGACAGATTGCTCATGCTGGCGCTGGCGCTGGCGATGTTGCCGAAGCCAGAGCTGCTGTTGTTGGTGTTTGCGTAAAAGTCGGCGTTGTTGGAGGAGGTGGTGGTGGTGGTGGTGGAAGGGTCAAACGACTGGGAGCGGAGGTCGAGGCCGCCCGGGCGCTGCTGCCGGTTCGCCATGGTATGTATGTAAAGGCGGGAAGGAGTGAGCAGTGAGCAAAGGGCAGGCAATTCAGCAGGGGTGGTGCATGGAATCGGCAGCAACGGGCTGGTGAGGCCGGGCTGTCATACGCGCCGCCTCGAACCGGGCAAACCTAATAGGCAGTCTTGCGGCAGGCGGGCGATGGCAATGGCAATGTCGATGGCGATGACGACGGCGGCGGCTGTGCCTGCAGGGGAGGAGGAGCAGAGGGATGTGACGCGATCATGGACGGGCAGGACGAGAGGGCTCAGCGGGAGCAGCGCGAAGGAGCGGATACGACGGCGGCAGGCGTCGAGAAAGACCGGGCGGGAGGCGAGGGTGGTCTGGAGAGTCGGGGCGAGGGTGGGTATTGTAGTGCAAGTAGGGTATCTGGCAGTCGTTGCAGGGCAATAATAGCAATAGCCAAACCTACACCTCCTGAAACCCGCGGTGGAGGCCGGTGCGAGCGTGGGAGCCAAGGCCGTCACCAATTGGGCGCGCTACTACGACTCGGCCCTGCATCGACAACGGTGTGGTCTCTGCGCCACCGCCGCCCTATACGCCCCTCAGTATTGGCATGTCGCGCCGCCTTCCCTATTGCTGCATGGCCACGGCAGTGTGCGTGGGCTGTAGGCAGGCAGTGTGCAGTCGGCCGCCGTCGATACGACCGGAGCGTCATGATGCTATTCTTTGCACCGCATGCCGTCCCATGGCAGTTAATCCACTGCCTAGGTACTTGCACTACCATGACCACGGCCACCACGGCCACCACGGCCGCCACCCTCAGGCCCCCATGCCACAGCACACAGTCTCACTCATGGCCAAACGCCCACCACCACACCTGCGACACAACACCCACGGCTGCGGCTGCCTCGTTTCACTAGCACCACGCGCAGTCGCCCTCGTCGGCTCGCGGCCGCTTTGGGCCACGGCCGCCAATAATCGTTAGCACTGCAGAAAATGCCGTCGTCGCACGCTCGCTGCCGCTGCTCATTTGCTCCCGCGCACCCGGCCACCATGTCACGGTCCAGAACCTTTTTGCTCATTTAAATTGCTGCCCGTCCTGCGAACCACTGTTCTTGCAACGCCCGATGTCGAGAGCTGACATTTGTAGACAATAGCCCCTCTAACCTATACACAAGGGGCCCGGCTGCCACTGCTCGCCTCGCTACTAATCAGCAGCCCACCACCACCGCTGCCCTGCTCACCTGCTCTTGAACCCTGCAGGGGCGCCGCTAGCCCATCACCGCCGCCAAGCCCTTCCCCCTTCTCCAGCCCGGGTTTCATCTCGCTGCTCCAATGCTGACGGAAACCCAATCCATCGCTGCATCCGCTATTACCTAACACCGCGCACACATGGTGAAAAAAATAACAACACACGTGTGCGCTGCAACTTCACTGTCCACGCCGGTGCCATGGCGCCCTGTAGCTCCCGCAAGCACAGTCCGACTATGACGTGGATAGTCATCAAACTTCTCTCCACACGCCATCTGCCATGCACCTGCATCCTGTCACCCCCAGACTGCTCGTATGCCGTTCCCGTCTAGGCGGCCGCATCGACCTTTTCCCAGCACTGTAGTTGTACGCTGTCCTCCAGCCTCGGCTTGGACGCCGTGTCGAGAGCCACGCGCTTCAAGCCCATCATCCACCCTATGAGCCCACGAGGCACCCAGTTGCCCACCACATCATACGTGACACTTCCACGCCCAACACGCCATACTTTTTGCGGTCGTCGCTGTGTGAGCGCATCGAACACGCCATTGTGTAGCTCCCGGACTGAGCTGCCGCTTTGGTTGAGCAGGCCCCGGCTCTGCGCAACGCGTGCTTGGGCCTCGAAATTGCTTGCGTACAACGCTCTCGTCGTTGCTGGCCAGGCATGTGGGCTGCCCATCGACCGCGACTGCACATGATGTTTGGGGCCCACGTTTGTCAGATCAAATGTTCCGAGATGAAATTGCAACACCTCAATGCCAAGGGTGCCCAGCTCGCCTCTGAGCGACGCCAGGAACCCTTCGAGTGCGCTGACAATCGTCGTCTCCACGCTATGGAACGGCGGCCGCAATGACGCAATGATGCTCGGCGTGAGCATCAGCACGCGCGACTTGAACTCGCACACGGTCGGCAGCAACGCTTGCGTCACTGCAATCGTGTTGAGCACTTTGGCGTTGAGCGCGTCCGACCAGAGCTCAGGACTGACCGTCTCTACGGGGCCGGTAGGGTAAATCAGGTCAGGAACCAGAACAACACCGCGCAGGTTAAGGTTATGCGGGGTTGCCCCGGAAAAGGCGACATGTGGTCTGGTGAGCAGCTCATTGAAACGCCTCATGGCCTCTTGCGTGCCCATTGTGTCGACCACGTCCAAGTGCAGTGGCCGCACGTCGGCCCTTGACTCGCCTAGTACTTGTTGCTCCTCGTCCATATTGGAGCATACAATGTATACAATGAAGCCGCGGCGCTCAAGATCGAGCGATAGCGATCGTACAATGGGCGAATTTGGCGGCCCGGCGACGACTGTGCCTGTCAGCTCCGTCCTCCAAGTAGGCTCGACTGCGTCGCATACTCACCTACAACTTCCATCCTCGCCCCATTGCCCGCTCGTCTCGCTCGGCGCTTACGGTTGTACCGCTTCTGCTCTTGCCATACCATGAACCCTCCAGTCGCACAGAATGCAACAATGGCGGCCGTCAGCGCGCGGTGCCTGAGGACCCAGTCCTGGAGGCCATGTAGGTAGGCGCCAGCAATGGGATGCGGCGGTGGAGGCGGTGGCCGTGGTCGCGCGCGCTCCGGAAGCCATGTCTCGGGGAGGCTCTTTTTAATATAGCCAGCTACATGTGCAAAATGCGCATCTGTTGCGTCCCATATTGATCCCGTGAAGTTGCGAACGTCTCTAGAGTACTCAGCCAGCTTTGTGTACGTCAGCTAGGAGCAGATGGAAAATCCTGGTCTTACTCACCACGCCGAGGACTTGCTGGTCGTTGTCCGACATGCTTCCGCAGGTTTCAGAACGTGTTCAAGTTGAAAAACAAACTTGTTCCAACAGGCGGTGCTTCAAACTTTGACAGAGGTCGCCTCCAGAGGTCGTCGCAAGCACGCAAGTGCACTACGTCAAGCCGGCCAATGACTCGCGCGATCATCCTGGACACGGTCACACGTGAGGACCAGTGGCTTTTGCGCCACCGTTCTCTCTCTCGTGGACACGGTCCCTTTTATAGGCCTGCAGCTGCAGGCCTTATCTGCACTTGCTCGTGCTTCACATTCGCTTAGACAATAATAGGCTGTAAATAGCCGTGCCTGGTGGCATAGACTGACTCCGTCCGGCGCTATCGTCGTCGTCAACCACCAAGAACAACGCGTGAACTGCTTACGTGGCTGTCGGTATCCTCAAGCCCTTTCCTAGCAATCTTGGCTTTTTTTTTTAATTCATCTGCTTCTTCGCCCCTTCAGGGGCTGTTTGCACTTACTTGACCAAGATTGCCTGCCAGCACAACGAGAGAGAGGACCCTGCGCTGCATCCAAGGACGGCCCATCAACAATTCAAAGTGCACGGTCTTGACTTGTAAGAACACCGCCACACCATGAGGGAAATTGATGCGCATTTCGATGCCTATGAGCACCTGAAACACCTCCCACGAGATGGCGAGGCGCTGCATACGCTCCGTAAGGCTGCGTCCATGGTCAAGCCCATGATGAGGAAACGAGGCTGGAAGGTTGGAATACTTGCCGAGTTCCTTCCTGACGAGCCTCAGCTGCTAGGTAGGAGGGCAGAAGCTGCCCTGGGGTACTCGACTGACTAGCTCCCAGGCCTGAATATCAACCGCACAGAGAGGATCCTAATCCGGCTGAGATACCACTATGATTCCAGGCAGTTCCTGTCCCTGGAGCAAGTCACAGATACCTTACTGCATGAACTCTGCCACATAGTCATTGGCCCTCACAATGTCGACTTCAACAATCTCTGGAACGAACTTCGAGAGGAGCATCAGTCTCTTCTTATGAAGGGTTACACTGGCGAGGGATTCCTGTCGCAAGGCCAAAAACTCGGCGGTAGGCGCATACCGCTCGACGAGATGCGCCGCCAGGCTCGGATCGCTGCTGAGAAGCGACGGACGTCTACCGACGCCAACGCAGGAGGGCATCGCTTGGGCGGTTCGCGACCTACAGCACGCGGTGTTGATATGCGTAAGGTCATCGCAGACGCGGCATCACGCAGAAACAGCATCACCGAAGGTTGTGCAAGCGGAAGCTCTGAGACTCAACGGTTAGTCAACCAGGTCAATCAGCAAGAGCAGGATAGGTTTCGCACCACCGCTGAGCAAGATGATGCCAATGATTGGGCGATTGCCCAAGCTTTGCAAGATCTCATGTATGACGAGGAAATGCAGAGATTAGGCGCCCCGACTGGAAACGGTGGGCTAAGTTGGGATCCTCAAAACGGACTGCAGTTCGACAGTGCACCACCTTCTCCTAGCACCTCGCCAGCTCCACCAAATCAATCTCACCCTACACGCAGCACAACCTATCCTCTTCCAGGCCGACCTCTGCCACGATCAACCGCGCAAACGTCATCAAAAGCACGAACCCGTACTCCTTCAACATCCGCAAGGACACCCTCGCGCCTTATCTCGTACGACGAAGAGCAACGACGGAACAAGCGTCTTCCCCCGACACCACCGCGGCCATCTCCGCCGCAGCAGTCTGTCACATTCCTCACTGACCCGAATAAGTGGGCGTGTCCGCAATGCACACTGCACAACCCACTCGACTATCTTGCTTGTGGCGCCTGTGGCCTCGAACAGCCACCTCAGCCCATACCAGAACATAAACGCTTCGCATCGTCATATACGGTACCTACTCTGCCCAAACCACCGCCGCAGTCTGGACTGCGAGGGCAGGGTGCCACGCCGTTTGAACTTGCAAGAGGTAGGATAGGCTGGAATTGTCTCGAGTGCGGGACCTTCATGGTAAGATTTTTTTTAGAATACAGTCTGTATGAATTGTGTTGCTGACTGATTACAGGAAAATCAATGGTGGACCTGTTCGCTTTGCGGAACGATGAAATCGGACTCGTAGCGCATAAACAAAAGCGTTGTGACATTTACGCGAGGGGCCTCATGCAATCTGGATACAAGTGTCCGGCATAAGGTACGGACATCGTTTGACTGCGTGTTGGTATACCCTGGCAGACAACACGCATGTCAAATATGGCGCCAGTTATTTTGGATAAGAGATAGCGCGGCTGTATGCATTTGGTCTATGGATAATCTCATTGGAGATCATGGTATATGGCTTGGGGACAACGTTTGTTGGGACAATGTTTGTTTACGATTGAACGCTGAATACGTTGTTTGGAGCGTGTTTATGAGGGCCACGAATACGTGAATATGACACATTTGTGAATAGACAAGCACCAATTCTTTTTTGGGTAATCTCAACCTTGAAAAGGTATTTGAATACTTTACACGAGTGAAAGACATATTCATGGACGTTCTTTCCTTATGAGTGCTCAGTCGTCACTGCCAAGCAGCCTTCACTTACATGAGCTCACCCTGGACATCTCAGTAATACAAAAGACTTCGCCCCATTCAGCGGCAAACGAACGCCCCGCGAAAACCCTCGAAACAACTCTTCTTCACAATGCCGTCGCTGAAGGACCTCAATTGTAGCATTGAACTATCGCAAACCCAGCACGCTTTACCAGAGTACGGTACCACCTACGGCGATGGATTTGTAGAGACATTTGTGCCTGTACCCAACCAGCCGCAGTCTTTCTCAATTCATCTCACATCCAACACATTAATCGCGCCGGGCATCGCCATCTTTGTCTACGTCGACGGCGTCTATCAGTGCAATCGCAACAGGCAAGACATCAAGCCCCGAAAACCGTCGGACAGTCGCTCTTTGGTGGACTTTAGGGTGCGTCAAAAAGAGGAGAGACAGAAGGATGGGTCTATGATTGCGCGAGAATGGACTTTTGATAATTTGGATATTGGTGAGTTGCAATATGGTGCACTTCTGTGGCAGTGACTGACTAGTAGCAGCGTCTGTGGATGATGCGTCGAACCTCAACTCACCGGACACTATTGACAACATAGGATGTATCGAAGTCGTGGTGCTGCGATGTGCTGGCAGTCGAGATGCAAAATCTGCTTCGGCAATCAACTTGGACGGTGCTGGTGACTGGCCTGACCATCGTTTTAGCTTGAAAGACTCAACAAGCAGCCACAATCGATCCATGTACGATGACCGCGGACCGTTTTTCAATAGCTCCCGCAATATCTCTGGTCCGCCAGCACCTTGGTCGTCCTATCGCGCACCGTACGCCGAAACACTGCAGAGCCTCGAGAGCTCCAAGACACAGATTCAACATAACACTCTTCCCGTACGGCATAAGTCTTCTAGAGTATCTGTCAGACGTCAGTCGAAGTCCGGCTCCCGGTACTCAGAAGTGGTCAGCCCGCGCACACGACGCTTAGAAAGCCTTCCCTCTTCGGGCTTCCAATACGGCAGTGGACCTATCCCACCTGATAGAAAACTTGCTCGTCGTGACACTAATAAGGTTACAACTCCGGAAACAAGTGGTGTCAATCCTGCGTGGCTGGAAACCGTATTGAAGGCGGCAGTCAAACAGGGTGTAGAGGAGTCACGGCAGGCAGAAGCCCAGTCTGCACGGTGTGACAGAAATTCAGACCACACATTACAGAAAGAAGACAAAACAAGTCAGGCCCCTGGCGCATGGCCAGAATCTCCACGCACTGCGCCTGTGCATGTACCTCATTCCTTCAAGGCGTCACCATCCCAACGCAATCAGCGCAGTGACCGCGCATCAGATTGGGTTCAGTCACAAAGTGGGTGGGGCCAGCTTGAGACAAGGAGCAAAACGGGAGCCCACACAAATCAGAGCGAAGAGCATTTGTGGGAGACAGAAACCTCCGAGTATGTCAATGAGTGGCGTTCCTACGAAGAAACACCGTCAGATTCTTGGGATACTGATGAAACTTGGGAGACGAACAGAGGAGGTGAAATTTCATTGGAACGCATAAGATGGGCAGCGAGTGTTTCACCCTCGTACTCTACAAGTTCGTCCAGCAGCTCAGATAACACGATACAGCCGTCACATTCTCGAAGCCATATAAAGTCTCCGCGAAAGAGATCAAACAGTCGTGCTCTTTCCTCGAAGTCCACGCGATCTTATCATGACCCAGATTCTTCTCGGTATCCGCTTTGCGCGGAAAACTTGAAGCGCATAGATTCTGAAGGGATACATGCTCCTGCAATCACGCGAGTGATACCAGATGTCCAAAATCACCCAGATATCGCTCTTCCAACGCATACACAGTCAAGAAGACCAAGCGGGCATGTTAATGCGTGTCTTTCTGCATCAGGAGCTCCAGCTTCGCCTGCAGCCGTAAACAATACCAGTAACATATTTCCAGCTCCATATGCACCATCTGCGAAGGGATATGCATGGGACGCTATTGGTGCCGGCGAAAAGGATCGTAATTCCACAGCTTCATCTACTTGGGGTAGCAACAGAGTGCATTCCTGGGCCATTGCCACGTCTCCAGGTTCCACCTGGGAAACCGAAAAACCCAAGAACTATGACAAGACCGACTGGTACTCAACTTCCGATGACGATGATGGGAATATCAAATGGACCACTCCACCTGCTGATCGTAAAAACCCAGAACCTATAGGATGGCAGGATATTATCAAGCCGACCTCGCCATCCGATACAAAGAAATCGAAATCGAAATCGAAACCTACGAAAAAGGACTCATTAGCACTCCAAGAGCTAAAAAGTGTCCTCGAAATGAGTTTAGGCAAGGAAAAGAAAGGTGACAGGGTGAAGGGGAACAATGAATCACAGCCTGCTATTCAGGAAGAGAAAGACCAGAAGGACAAGAAAAACAAGTCATCTGGCCGTAACCCTACTTCTCATCGTGACAAGAGTTCAAAATCCCCTACCAGGTCCCGAGTTCAGCCTCCGAAACCCCACTGGTGTTTTCCTCCGCCACCTCCACCTGCATCCCTCTTGCCTTCTCCTTCGCAATCCGCCATCACAGCCGCCGCAGGCTCTAAAAAGAGACCAAAGCACGTCGTCCGAACTAGCACACCCATTCCCTACGGTCATGCCATAGCGAGACCAGAGTACGTGGATAGCCTGGAGAAGCCATATGCAGTGTTTCGATTCAAATACCGGAGTTTGGATGCATTGAAGAAATTGGGGGTTATTATGTAATCATCTGGAAGAAGGAAAGAGGGATTGGCAGTGAAGGGTAAGGGGGGTAAAGTACATGTAAAGTAAAGAAATGGGCAAAAGATTTGATTCACTGTAAAACCCATGTGTACATTAAGAGAAAAAAAAAAGGCACGACAAGTCGACCCAAAATAAAAAAAAGCAAGTCATGGAAATTCACATAACCTACTTCGTTGCTCCTAAGAAATTTCTACCACTTTACTCTACAAAACTATCCCCCCCCACCCCCCAAGTGGCTCTCAAAAACAAAGCTCATCCCTCTCCTCACTCTCCTCAACCCACGCCCTCTTCCGCGCCGCCACCAAACCCCCCAAACATCTCCTTTTCCCCTTGACCTTGTCCTTGTCCTTAGACGCAGATGCCACAGGCGACGCAGCCCCGCCCTTCCAACACTGCTTCAACTGCTTAACATGGGCCCTGCGCTCACTCGTCGACGTGGACCAGGGTCCAGACGGCGCAGCACTACTATTTCTCCTTTCCGGCGGTCTGGGCGTTTGAAAGGCCGAGACGAAGAAGCTGGTGGGGGAGTCGGTGCTGGGTTCGCGTTTGATGCGGGGAGTGGTTGGGGGAAGGAGGAGGAGGAGGAGATCGTCGTTGTCGTTGTCGTTGTTGGGAATGGTGGTGGATGATATGAGGTCCAAGGAGATGCTGCGTTTGCGGGGCAGTGGTGGTGCGGGATGTGTATGTGTGTTCCTGGGGTTTGCTAGATGGCGAGCGAGGGTTTGGGGTGTTTTGAAGGTGCGGTTGCAGATTTGGCAGAGGAGAGGCGAGGCTGTGGTTGTAGGTGTAGGTGGTTGGTGCGTTGTGGAGTCCTTGGTGTCATTGTTGGCTGTGCGTGTGTCTGGAATCGTTTCGGAGCGTCGAGTGAGCGCGGGTTCTGGCTGCGTGGTGAGTGTGGATGGTGATGTTGGCTCGGTTTTTATCTGGATTGATGTTTGGCGTGGGGGTGTGATGGTGGCGTCGTGCATGGCTAGGCTTTCGAGTAGGTCTCGTTGTAAGTCGTCTTCGTCGATCATGGTTGTCGTTTCTATAGAGGGTATTATGCTGTCTTCTGATAGGGCGTCTGGTATTTCTTCGTCGCAGGGGATTTCATGGTCTTCTCCTTCTCCTTCTCCTGTTTCTTCTTCTTCTGCATCTGAACCAGCTAGAGACAGTAGTTCACGTTCGTCGTCATCATAATATACGCTCGAGGAAAATCCCTTGAAAGCTTGTACTGGTTCTGCGGCTTCCCTGTGGTCGTCTTCGTGCTCGGATGAGCTGGGAGTTGGCAGATGGTGAGACTGTGTTACAGGAGCTTCTACTTGCTCATCCAGTTCATTGTCAGTGCCACGAACATCATCACTCGAGAAAGCTACAACTGGCGATTCTAGATGCAGGTTTTGATCCTTAATCAAAGCCCATCGCCTGCTGATCGCACTTGCGGGCCAGTCTTTCCATTTCGCCTGGCTGTCCTTGATAGCAACCCACGACGAGTGATCCACCATTTTTCTTCTACTTATATATACGTCATCTTCTGGTGTAAAATGATATTTTCTAGTAGCACGAATGCCGCGTCTTTGAACCTCAACGCGCGGACTGGTGCGGCGATGTGTGGTGGGTGAGCTCTCCTGTAACCTTGCGCGAGAAAGTGAGGGAGTGGCTTCTTCGACCAGAGGGGTCGATTCTGCTAATAGCTCTCCTTCATGCTCACGTGGTAACGAAGTAACGACTGGTTGATCGGCTTGCTCAGCTACCGGAGCTGCTCTACGAGTAGGGAGAGGGCTGGATTGAGCCACAGGATCCTGTTTTGGTGCGGCAGACAAAGGCGGGAAGAACCATTTTGGGTCCGTGGCAGGTGCGATCTTATCGGCTGTCGTGATCATCGGCGTAGTCGGTGGTGGAGCAGCGCTTGCGAATGGAGTAGAAAAGTTGGGCGGCAGAAGACCAGATTGAGCCATAGCTTTCTGAATCACTTCACCAATTCCCTGTGTCAAAGTCATATAGAACGTAGCCTGCGCCTGCTGTCCGGCAGGAGTTTGTGGAAACTGAACAAGTGGTAGTAGGTTCGGGGTCGGATTTGGATTTGGCGTATTGGGAGGTTGCATTGTGTTGAGTTGCGGCATTGAAGTCGCTGGGGTATTTGACTGTTGTGGAACTGACGGAATGTTATCGTTGCGTGGGGACTGCGCGTCTGGTATCCTGGTTTGCTGTCCGTCCAGTTCAGGCTCTCTATCTGTTGACTTCACCGGCTGCGTAGGTGCCAGTTCATCTTCCGAATCTTCTACATTCTCCTCATCCTCCTCTTCACCCTCATGTCTTGACTCCTTCCCTATGGCTAAGCCAAGAGTGTCCAACAACATAGTCTCCTTCCGACCGACCTGGCGCTTCAGTCTTCGCAAATGCCCTCTGTCCACCACTACTCTGTTGGTTGTCATGTCGATCTCATCGCTCATTGATTCGTGCATGTTTCCATATTTCTCGAATATCGACTCGAGTCGGCCCTTGAATTTCTGTTGTTGTTTCTGCTTCGCCTTGATGTACTCGGCATTCTCCTCGTCCACTTCGACAGACTGCCAGATGCGCATGCGCTTTGCCGGTGGCTCCATGGTGTATGACTGCGCGCTTTGAGATGTGTGAGAAAGGAGCGGCGGCGTCGACCGAGGGACGATAGGGATGGTGGGCTGGCGAAGGGCGGGGGTTGTTTGCGACGATTTGCGACGAAGCACTAATTGGCCCGACGCGAAAGCTGACAATGGCTGGGACGCGTCGGCGCCAGCATGCCTTAGCGGCGGCCGGCCGGGGGAGCCCCACCCGCCTGCAGGTGATCTCCAACCACGAACCGCCGCATCGTCATCCACCTCCTACAGCGCCTTAATTCCTTCCCTTGATAGCAGCATGAAGGTCCACCTCTCATAACATTATGCCGAACGACACAAAATCAGCTAGCTTGGCCTGTCAGAAGTGCCGGACACCCATAGACATCGATGCTTCTATCGACCAGCTCAACCCGGCTGCCTTCAAGCTGTTGACAGGTACAACCACCCCCGGGCTCTTTCTGGGTGCTGTTCTCATATTGACTGTGCTCTAGACTCCGTAGTTTCAGGTCAGATCCAGGCTCCGAAGATCTCGCCAAACCGCCAGTCGCGTCCTCCAAACCCTCCAGAACATCTCAAGACCTATCAAGATGCGATCAAAGATGCAAAGACACCTACATACCGACGCAATATCCAAGGCGCACCGCAATCAAGAAGCCCAAATGGCCCTCAGAATCCCGCCATGTCGTTTATCGACATACACATGTCCGAGTCGATGATCAACCCATCCTCTGCAGAACCAGCCCAAAGTACCAATGGCAAAACGCAAGCAGAGGATGCAAAGGCCGATGGCAATGATAAAACAAAGCGGAAAGGCGCAAAGAATGGTCTGGGCACGGCGGGAGGTGCGAGTCTAGCAGACGGGCTCGAGACGACAAATCGCATGTTCGAGATCCTGTCTGCGCGCTCCGATATCGACCACCCAATATGCGTGGAATGCACCGAGATTCTTATAGATGGACTACAAAAACGACTTGGCGTAGCGACTCGAGAGCGCGATGCATACGTAGACTTTCTCCGCCGCGCCAACACCGACGTGCCCAGCGCCGAAGAAGTCAAAGCTGCCGAAGCGGCGCTCAAAGCAGCTAAGAAGGCCGAAAGCACCGCCATTACCCAGCTTGAGAACCTCGAGGCCGAAAAGGCAGAACTAGACAACCAGATTGCGGCCCTGGAAGCAGAAGCGCGGATACTGGATCAAGAAGAAAACGAGTTCTGGAAGAGCCGAAACGCTTTCAACACGACCTTGACCGAGTTCCAAAACGAGCGCGACGCTCTAGCCACAAGGTATGCTCACGATGCACAGGTGCTGAATCAGCTGCAGAGAAGGAGCGTCTACAATGATTCCTTCAACATCACGCATGACAACCACTTTGCCACCATCAACGGCCTGCGCCTCGGACGCCTACCAAACCCGTATGTTGACTGGCCTGAAATCAACGCCGCATGGGGCCAGACCTGTCTGCTACTCGCTACTCTAGCAGAGCGTCTAGGCTACAAGTTTGACGGTTACGAACTCTGCCCCATGGGCTCCACATCAACGATTACACGCATAGAAGCCAAAGGAGGGGCCTCGGTCGCCGAGTCAACAACAAGGCATCAACATGCATCTACAGCGACTACAGCTTCATCACCACAGATATCCAAACAGCGTCTGGAACTATACTCATCAGGAGATTTCCCCATCAACTTTGGTTTCCTGCACCGCAAGTTCGACGCAGCCATGGTGGCTTTCCTCGAATGTCTCAAGCAGTTGGGCGAATTCGTTGAAAACCAGGCTCCTCCGAATGCTGGCGGCGTGGGGGTTTCTGGTGGTGGTGGTGGTGGTGGTGGCGGCGGGGGCGTTAAGATGCCGTACGAGATACGCAAGGATCGGATCCATGATCAGAGTATCAAGCTGGCGCTCAACAAGGATGAAGGATGGACAAAGGCGTGCAAGTACACGCTGACGTGCTGCAAATATTTGCTCGCGCACGCAAACAATGTTGAGAGTAACGCCATGCGGAGACGGTAGGCTAGGCTAGGCAAAGCATGGCTAGATTGAGAGAAGAAGAATGGAGAACGAGGAGAGAGTGGGACTGGTGGTACAAGCATGCTTGCTTGTTGTTTTCGAGATGGATAAGATACCCAAATATTGATTGATTCTTGCGACTTTTGCTCAGTGACATACTGCTTTTCTGAGAAACGATGCCCGCATGTCGCTTCACCGGTACACTCGGAAATAAGGATAGCAAAAGCTATGGGATGCGGGATTGCGCAGTCACCAATGGTTTTGCCGGATGTCATGTCGTGTTGCACCGTCACCTCACACAGTGTTACTAGTGGACGGAATTCCCGTCATGCCTAGAGCCGTGCAGCACCATGGTACTGTAGTGCTGGTCATTCCCATCTTACTAGTAGCACAGGACAATTACCTAAAAACAAGCTTCCATCACAAAGGAACCCCCCCTTTTGTATGGTGGGGCAGGATTCTCATTGCACCATCCCGTGGATATGTGTCGTCAACCATGCTGCGCGATGGATGGTGCCAAATCATTACGGAAGGTTACCTCGGGCGGTTCAAATACTCAAGAGCACCAGAAGACTTAACAGGCTAAAGTTAACACAGTCCTGTAGTGGTGAAAGACAAGGATCGTCTCTTCAAGGGCGACTGCAGACTGCATTGATTACGCGGACCCGAAGTTGGGTTAGATTGACACGCCTGACCAGTGTGTGGTGCAGCTGGTCTACCGCACCGACCAACAAGCCAACACGCGCGGATACGGCATCCAGCACATGAGGCGAGATCCACCCGCTGAAACCAGCACATCGTCAGCTTCGCCAGTGTCGACGCCGGAGACAAAAGCGGAAAGGCACGATCCTCTCGGTGGTGTTGCGGCTCTGGGCTCAGAAGACGGGGTCAGCTGAGTTGTACAGCCCCGGTGACTTTCAGGGTATAGTACTATGCGCTAAACAGATGAACAGAACAAGCCCGTGCTAAGGAAAAAAAAGGTAAAAACCCAAGACGTGATTGGAAGCGGAATGTTCCTGCCGCGGCCAGGTCGCAGGTCTGGTGGCCCTAGGTAAGATAGTCCCAGACCCGGTACTGCTCGGGGGCCGAGAGGTTTTGCGGGGTAGCGGCAATCCTTAGCTCATAGAAACCAGGAGAATGAATTGACCGTGCTGGGGGGGATGGTGGTTGATGCTGTCAAGAGGCACAGGCAAATGCAGTAACCGGTCTGCTGTGTGCCTTGGCGTAATTGGCTTTGAACTTGACGTGCTCAGGATTACATGGACGCGTCTGTGTTGTCAGTGGAGGGAGTGACAGGGCGGCGTACACTTGGGGTTGTTCTGGAGTATGGGTGCGAGTGTCGTCGGTTCAAGTGGTGAGCTAAAGTAGTTCCCGTAAGGGGTATAATTCGTGACTGTGGAGAGGGTGCATGGCGGGGAAGTTTCGAAGACGTAAGAAATTACCAAATCAGCCCAGGACGAGCACGATGGCAACGAGGCTAGACTTCAAGTGATGCAAGCGAGGGGACGTATACGTGTCAATGGAGGAGAGTGTCCATGCATGGCGAAGATTCTGCAGACAGGAGGTTTAAGGGGGCCCACGAGGCGTGGCATCGTCAGGAGACGAGGAAAGGCGCGAGGCTAAGAAAATGCGGACATGTGTGCATCTATTGAACAGGCGAGTCTTGACAGGGCGGTGGAAGTGCGGTGTGAATGGTACAGGGTGAAGCAGCCATGGCGCGGGTGTGTTGTTGACGAAGCGCGGCGGAGATACAGGAGATGGCGAGGCGCGAGGGCAAGGCGGACAAGGACGCCACAGGCGCGGAGGTGGTGAGAGGCAGGATGGGTTGTGACGGATGTGACCACCAAGGAGGGACGGCATGCATCGGCAACCGGTGGCCGGCGTGGTGAGCAATGCAGGTCGCAGGTCGCAGGCTGGAGAGGCACGAGGGGGCTCGTCCGAGGATTTTGATGTGTCATGCGTGGTCAGGTGGCCTGCGGATTGAATTTCCTGGGGGTAATCGAAACGCAAAGGCCTGGCCCACGTGAAGCCAAATTTGAGCGTTGAATCGCCGCCCCAGCGCAGCCGACGCGCCAAGCCCCTGTGACGTAAAGAGAACCGAGCCTCCAAACTGGCCTGCCCCGCCGCTCATTGGCCCGCCGCCGCCTGGCCGGTGGAACCATTCACTCCTGCTGGCTTGTACCCGTCTCGGCCCACCGTCCGACTTGTCTGGCGCGGCTGCACAAAGCTGGGGAAGCCTTCGCCGTCGACTAACTCCGTCCCACGGTGCCTGGCGTTCACTGTCTGAATAAATCTCTGCTCGCCCGGCACTGGCGGCGACTATAAGACTCACGGGCTGCCGCCTCTCCTGCTTTGTGTACCAAGCCAATCCACGCCTCTCCACTTGCACTACTCACCACCAGCCACGCACTGCTACTGCACTCGCACACTGTGCCCCTTCGACATCGACCCGCCTTACCCGTGCTGCACATTCAATGAACATCAACGACTTCCCGTACGAAGTCCTTTCTCAGATCCTCCACGAGGTTACCAAAGCCAATGTCCGCGAAGGTCCAACATATACCTTTGGACTCCAGCAAGCCCCATTGCCGCTAGAGAGGGCCAAGCTCCAGCGCTATGTGAGGGGCCCCGTTCCCCCAGAGCTTCTCAAGTGGGATGCTACGGCCACGCTCCGTTCCGTCTGCTGGAGGTGGCATCAGTGGGCTTTGGAGCACTCGATCAAGGATATCTACATTCGCCGCTGGAAGGGCGGAGAGGTAAGCAACATCCTAACCATCTGCCTAGTCGTGCCATGCTAACCGTATCCAGCGATGGGCTGAGCTCTCCAACAGGCGAGAAAGCTACCCGCTTTACGAGCTCATTGACCGTCCAACCGGTACGGCTGTGTATCGTGACCCATTCGCCTCCCTCAAGCGGACAGTCAAGATTTGCAACGACTACCCCCAGGTCGCTTCCAAGATCAAGCGCATGTGGGTCCATGGCTTCTACACCGCCGAGACCGACCGCCTTATTTTCGACTGCTTGACCAACTGTGTGAACCTCACCTCCCTTTCGATTCCGTGGACCACTATTAGGCACGTGGATGCCAAGGCCTGGCGAGCCATGTTGACGGGTAGCGGCAAGTCACTCCAGTCCCTAGAGCTGCAGTGTGTCGATCCCACATCGCAGCAAGCGGCCGACAAGGACAACCTCGTCGATTTAGAGCCCCTTCAGTCGGTCAACTTTGGCCAACTGCGCCGCTTGAAGATTTTCGGTGACACATCCTTCATGCCCATCACCGACAATGACCTGTTCGCCATTGCTCGCACTGCCACTCAGCTCGAGGAGTTCCATCTGACTTGCAACTCGTCCATCACCATTGATGGCGTCATGGCGATTGTCAAGGCTTCTCGCCAGACACTCCGCGTTCTGGAGCACAGCCCGCGGTCCCAGGATGGCTTCTGGCATCCGCACCCTGGTTCCCCGAGTGACAGTGAGCATCTCTGCGATACTTTCCGCAACTGCCCAAAATTGGAGACCCTGTCCATCTCTCTCCCATCTGTGTGCTCCCACCTCTTCTCCAATGAGGATGCCAAGTTTGCGGGCGACTTGCAAGTTCGTGCCCTGCATTTGTGCGAGCATGAGCACGGTCGCTCTACCCACGAGGCTACCGACGCCCTGCAGAAGCTACTGGAGCAAGCGCGCCGCTTCATCCGGCTCCGCGCTGAGAGCGCCATCCCTCGCGAGCTCTACATTGAGCTCTTCTTCGCCGACTGCATCTTCGAGCCAGGCTTCCAAGCCGTGCACGGCGACTTTTCCTTGGCCCAGATTTCCTCCGAGGGATACTGGCCGCAGAACGTCGAGTTCAGCGGAAAGGGACCCTACGGAAGCACCGGCCTATACGGAAAAGAGGAGGAGGCGCAATTCCAGCGCATCCACGAGGCCGAGTTTCTGGCTGGTGTCCACCGGAGGCTTCATTCCATTCAGACTTGAATGTGGATCATTCGACCATAACAAAAAAGCGATCGTCTTCCCTTCTTTTGTATACCATTATCACAACTTGTTTTACGACATAACGATCATATGCATGAGCGGCAGGCCTGGAGCCAAGAGATACCAGGCTGGTGCAGCCATATTCGATTCATGCATTTTAAAGCGTTTGGAAAATTTGACTACAAAGGCATGGGTGGTTCTGTCTTCAAAAAAAGCGGTTTTCAGGGAATTTGCGTTTGAGCGTTGGCAGTCTGTTTTTTGCTTGTTAGCGTTGTAGCGTTCATAACCGGATATCATTGTACTGTAATGAACAAAGTTTCTACGTATGCACTTGATGGTTCCAACTGCCCTTTATGTTTTGTGCATATTTGCGTCGCATCTGCGGGAAAGTTTCTACGACTACGAGGAAGGATGACGACGTGTCGTTGGAAAATTTTGAAATGCCTGACAGCCTTGTCAGAATCTTCACCGCACGCCTTTTCCCCTCCCGCCTTGGCGATCATCAGCCCCCGCAACTGCGGCCTTCCAAGCTGCTTGTCTCAAGACGGAAAAGCCCAAGGTACGGAGTGCCCCTCAGTGCTTACACAGCCAACAGTAAGCTCTCCTCTAGTCCTCGAGCGGTCGCCATTTGCTCTATCTGGGGCTTAGCCGTGCGCCCATTCTTAGCATAACAACTGTTATACATCGGTGTGTATGCAACGCCGCAGCAGCAGCAGCACCAACAACAATGATAACATAAGGGCAATTGCTGATGACCAATGCTCGGAATGTCTCCGCAGTGTCTCGGACCATTTCCTAGCGGAGATCCGGTAGCAGCGGCGCATTGTTTTTTTTTTGAGGGGGGGTGGTTGGATGGAGGCCTCCGCGATATTGACAGACTTTCAAATCCTTACCAAGCAATCGTGTAATCGAGAATTCAGGCAGAAGAAAACTGGGCCCATGACGCTACTGTGCTGGGGATAAAAATGGGGACGCGCTATACCCGTCCGGGAAAGGTCTGGAGGGGCGTCGCTGCGTGTTTGCAATGCTCTTTGGAATCGACTGGTCTGATAACGGCAAAGTTTGGCTCTATGGACGGGGGGTACAGGCGCGACGATTGGACCGGCATGGGCACATCTAGCTTGCATCATGTCATGTAGGGAGATATGAGGATCGGATAGGAGGGTTAGCGGGTATCCTGCCATGTTTTGCGTGCTGGCGCATGCTGTCTGGGCTAACAGCTATAAGATGCAAGGCCTGCCCCTCTCCTCGAGCTTCATCTGCACCTCTATCGCAATTCCTCCCTTCTAGCTCTTCTCTCTACACTGTTTGATACCCCTAGCTATTCAAGATGGCGCCCAAGATTGCAATTGTCTACTACTCCATGTACGGCCACATCAAGAAGCTGGTATGTTGACACTTTTGCGGCATGCAAGCTGCCGTAGAGCACCCTGGTGGTACAGAGGAAAGAGAAAAACACCGCTAACTGCAATTCCAGGCCGATGCTGAGCTGAAGGGTATCCAAGAGGCTGGTGGTGATGCCAAGCTCTTCCAGTATGTATCTTCCAACATTCCACAACATTCCACATCCCAGCACCCCCTCAATCACAGCCCTCCTACGCTCTACCCTGAGTACAACATGGTCTAACAACAACACAGGGTTGCCGAGACCCTTCCCCAGGAAGTCCTCGAGAAGATGTACGCCGGCCCCAAGGCTGCCGATGTCCCCGTCCTTGAGGACCCCTCTGTCCTCGAGGAGTTCGACGGTATCCTCTTCGGTATCCCTACCCGCTACGGAAACTTCCCCGCCCAGTTCAAGGCTTTCTGGGATAAGACTGGCAAGCAATGGCAGCAGGGAAGCTTCTGGGGCAAGTACGCTGGTCTCTTCGTCTCCACCGGTACCCAGGGTGGTGGCCAGGAGAGCACCTGCTTGGCTGCCATGAGCACCCTCACCCACCACGGCTTCATCTACGTGCCATTGGGCTACAAGACCACATTTGGTAAGTTTTACAGACATGTTCTGATTTGATGGCGCGAGAAAAAGCTAACATTTTCTCAGCCGACCTTGCCAACCTGAACGAGGTTCACGGTGGCTCCGCTTGGGGCGCTGGTACCTTTGCCGGCGGTGACGGCTCCCGCCAGCCCTCCGAGCTCGAGCTGAGAGTTGCCACTGCCCAAGGCAAGGCCTTCTACGAGGCCGTTGCCAAGGCTCACCAGTGACTAGATGATGGTACTGCGGGCGAAAAGAAGGCGGTAGAAACTACAACCGCTACGACTAATGGCACTACACCTGCGCCAGCGGACAAGGCTTCCAGCACCCCTGCTGCTGCTCCTGCTCCTGCTCCTGCTCCTTCATCACAACCTCAGCAAAAGACTGAAAAGGACAAGGAGGGACCTTGCGGACTACCCTCGAAGTGTGACATCATGTAGATCTTCTGTCAAACCTACCTTCTTAATTTATATAAACGAAATGAATGATACCTTTACAATTACAATCAATCTTCTTCTTCTTCAATATCACTGACAGTCTTGTGTTTTGTTGGAAAAACGTGTCCCCAATCATTTTCCGATTTCTACCTGTACGTAATTGGGGTATACACGAAATAACAACATCGAGAAGAAAAAAAGCTACCCCAAAGAAAAAAAAAAGAAAACCAGCCTATTATATGATTATCCATCCCTGACTCCAAGAAAGAGAAACGCCATGTCTAAATCTCGTCAACCAAAGTTTCTTTCCATTCAAAGGAAGGAGAGAAAAAAAGCCAACTTTACACCCCCTTCCCATCCTTGTCACCATCTTTCCCCCCCTTAACATGATCCTGAATAAACTGATCGACCCACTCCTCAATCCCATCCGCCTTATGCGTCAACCACTCCCACCAGCTCTCCTCTCCCTTGTCCTTGTCCTCACCGGCGTTTCCTTCCTTGCCCTCCTCCTCGCCTTTCCCTTTATCCGCTGAACCTCCAGTAGAAGGAGAAGAAGAAGAAGTAGCAGGAGGCGTAGGTCGTGTAGGCGGAGCTTCGTTTTCCAGTGTAGCACCAGTGTCGAGGCCGGATGCGGAGGAGGTGATGCTGGAGAGGGGGTCGAGAAAGGAGGAGGACATGGCGGCGAGGTTTGTGGAGGAAGGAGAAGAAGAAGAGGAAGAAGAAGAAGAAGGGGTTAGGGTGTAGGAGGATACGGGATCCTCAGGGGTTTCGTTTTCGGATGTGTTTGTCGAATCGTTGTCGTTGTGCAGACCGATTGGTTTGAGGGGGAGGCGCAGAGTGCCGTTGTTGGGAGCGGGCTGGAGTTTGATCGAGTCGCAGATTATGTTGTAGACTTCGATGTTTTCTGTTGCGTGGGGTTAGTGCATGGGTTTTTTCTTTCTGTTTGCAAGTCCCCAAGTCTCGATGGATACGGCTACTTACGGAATGGTTCCATCTGGCTACCCGGTTCATGTGGGAATGCTGGGCCTCTGGCTACGAAAATGGCGCGCATGAGTGGGTGCTCATGGTCGTAGCCGTGTAGACCTCGAGGGTGATACACTTCATGGCTCTTCACGGCTTCTTCAACGTTCCAATGGTCTTTTGTAACAATTGCCCAGCCCGTCTTGGGTACTAGCCAGAGAGGAGCTATGCGTTTGTTTCTACTGAAATGGTATCGCTCTGGCATGTTCTCATCGCGGAGATAAACCTCGACATTGGGATTGTCGGCAGTACGGTTTTTGATTTGATTGTATATGCGATGGAGAGCAGAAGGGTCTTTGGGCCGGAGACCGTAGAGAGGCCAGCCATCAGTGTGTGAGAGCTCTGCAGGGTCAACAAGGTCTTCGAGTTGAATAAGACGAGTGGCATCGGTTGTTGCCATGCCGTGGTCAGACACTACTACCACATTAACAATGTTTGTGAGGTTTCGCTCATGGAGGCCTTTGAAAATGTCTCCCATCATGGTATCAACTCGTGTGATGGTTTCCCGGATCTCCGTACTGTTGGGACCATATGTGTGACCATCGCCATCTACATCGGGAACGTACGCAGCAATGAGTTGGGGTCGAGGTGTAAGTGCAGTCGCACCGACATCCTTGGGGCCAGGTAGATCAAGTAAACCCATGATACGATCCACTTTCCTGGATAGAACTTCTGAGCCGTTATATTTGTCAACATACGCAATTTTCTGATCCTGAATGTTGGCTTCGGAGCCTGGCCACATGTGTACTGCTGCTCGGACATTCTGCTTCTCTGCTGTCACCCACAGAGGCTCCCCTCCCCACCAGTGTGACTGTAGACTTTGCGCAGGATGGGTATAATAGAACTCCTCCTTGAGCTCCGGGTCCCAGAATGTGTTGGATACAATCCCATGCGCTTCAGGATACAGGCCAGTCGCGAGCGTGTAATGGTTTGGAAAGGTCACACTGGGGAAACTTGGCAGCATGTACTTGGGCGATATACCCTCTTGTACAAACTGATTGAGTGTGGGCGTAAGGTTGCGGTACAGAAAGTCGGCACGAAAGCCATCGAGGGATATGAGAATTGTGGTAGGCGCAAATAGCGAAGTACCATTCGATACGAGGGCGGCAGCGTCTTTGACATCTTGCGGGGTAGAGAGGTTGTATGCGGTTGCTAGGAGGACGACGAAAAGAACAATTATGGCTATGTATATGCATATCCGACGGCACATGCTCTTTCTCTGTGCCTACACCACTATTAGTTTTCAGGACGCATACAGGGGTGCCCGCCCAACTTACCCTTCGCTGCGATTCATTCGCAAGCAACCGTCGTTCGTCGCTCTCTGAATTTCTTGATATGAAGCTGGTGCTCGAAGCCCCAGTGCCCTCCTCCATGTCATACATGAGGGCGCTGGACTCCTCCTTGCTGCCTTTCCTGCGCGCTTTCGCCTTCTCCTTGACCCATTTCCCAACCTTGACGCCTGAGCCTTTGCGGCCCAAGAAGCCTTTCCTCCCCTGGTTTTGTGTGAGGAGCTTTTCGCGCTCATCTTCCGAGTCTAGTATGTCGTGGTCGTTCTGGGATAGTTCACCCGATGGCCTGCCATTGTAGCCCTCGTCGTCGGAGCTGTGGTCATAAAGCGTGCGTTCGTCGGTACCCGCGTCTGAGCTTGCGGTCCCGTGCAAGTCGTCTTGCGACCGTGTTGCCATGATTGTTTCTTCAAGGGCAATATTCCATGGCTATGCTCGAGGCCAAGATTGCGCAACAGAATCGTGTCCGAGAGTGTAGGTGGTGTCAGCGACCCTTGGGTCTGTTGCTTGGCGTCCGTGTTTCACTTGTGGAAATACCAATCATGGCCATGCATGGACATTTAATTATGTCCAAATGCAATGACAGCTAGCCTGGTGCTTATGATGATCATTGGAGGCAGTAATGAACAATGTGGGGAGGAATTATTTAGCTGCAGAGCGACTTTAATTGCCTGCGCGACATGAGCGCATGCATGTGATGGGTCCTGGACTAAAATCGCTGTCCAACCTATCTAATACCCTGGCACCCTCACCACTATTTATGCAAGTAATCAGGACATCAAGAACACCGCATCTCCATCAGCATCAATCCATTCCAGTCCCGAACCAGATACTTTCCCCTTGGAACAAAGCCACAAGACCAACCATGTATGTTCTACAATCTCTCCCCAGCAGTACAACTTGACTTGGCCCAATGAGCGAGAAGTACGACCTTCTCGGTACAGCATCACGCCCCAGCCGAGTTTTCCACTTGTGACTTGCTCACAGATATTGTTCCAAAATGCCTGCTGAAGCTGTGCGCTCCAGTGCGAACAGCTGATTAACCAGTACCCACGATCATCGGGTTTCGGCTTCTTTCCTATCCGGATTGGCTTGAAACGCTTCGGATTTTGCTGCTTGAGCGCTGCTAGTTGTGGAGTGATTTGAGAAGGCAGAGTACCCGGTCGTGCTGTTGATATCTTGGGTTCTGGTGGATAGACATCGATTTGAAATTTGGAGAAATCTATAGGTGGCGCGACTTGGCTACTGTCTTCAGGGCCTTTTTCCTCGCATGTTGTATGCCATGATGCTGGCGATGATGAATTCAAAGCATCATCTGGATTGACAGCCCTCTGGGATGTTGCAAAAGCATCGGGCTTTGCAGACAGTTTCGCAGTAGGTATAGGTGTCTCTGCTACGCTACTCGCCGCTTTCAAGCGCATACTTCGTCGACGTTCTGGAAACTCCTCTTTTGTATCAGGTGTTGCTGTGACTAACGATTCGATGGTACTATCTTGAATCCGTTCTTCATCCGTATCACTTGCAGGCGTGTCGTCATAGTTCTTCAGATAGCTCTCCTGTAATTGAGTGTGAAGAACTTCAGTAGCCGGTTGCGTGTTCTCAACAAAGCCTAGGTCAACATCGGCCGGAGTACCTGGAACCTTTTCCACTAGCAGATTTCTCTTGGTGGAGCTTGACCTGAGGCTTCTTCGGTATTTCCCATCACGATACGCATGCTCTGATTGAGCAAGTCGACCAAACATGGGCGGCGAATCATCTTTGACTGCATGATCACCGGACCGAACAGTATCATTCTCATGATTCTTGAGTCCATCCAAAGACAAATGTGACGGGAAGCTGCCGTAAGAATCTTTGCTCGTAGACAAGTTGGAAGCGTCCGCGGTGCCTCGGAGTGAACTCCCTTGATCTGGAGCTGTAGCAACATTCAGCCTAGACGAGGCAGATTGATTCACAAAATCAATCTGTCGGGAACTTCCCCGGTGAGATACATCAGCCTCAAATGTAAGATAGGCATCGGCCAAAGACTGGTAGAGCTGGTCGCTTTGTCGCGTAGTTGGGGCAGAGATGTGAACCAACAGTTCATCAATCATAGCTAAGGTCGACCGGATGTAGTTGATACAATCGCATAGCCATGATAATATTGTTGTTGTTCAGTCCATGTGGCACACGCGATGGACAATCCAGAATGTGTAGTTTACATTGAGAATGCAAGTGAAAGGAGGTGCAGGCGTAAGAACTGGGGTAGCTTGGCAACCATGGCCTGTGCACGCCCCCATCTATCGAATCGTAGTTCTCGATACAACGAAGCTTGACCTATTAGGTGACAATTTGTCTCACATTGAAAAAAAAACATTTGTGCTTTCTCGTACAATAAAGACAGCGCGCGTTGAGTGCTGTCATTCAATGACATATCGTCTATCATGCATGTAGTCATAGACCCAACCCTACGGATATCGCTGGAAAGAAAAGAAACATTGCCCACTTGCTCGACACATCTCTACTCATCGTTATCTTCAGTCGGCGCCTGCAGCTCCTCGATATCCTCCTCGTCGAAGGTGTTGAGAGGGACAGAGTACAAGCGGAGAAGAGGCTTGTTGGGGTCCTTGACAAGAACGTACTTGCCATCGTCCATGCGAAGGACCATGTCGACAATGGTACGGACGATAGCCCATCCGTTATTGAGGTTGAGCGCCATCTGGGCGGCAAAGTCGCGGGGCTTGTTGGTGAGCACACCGAGGATGACGTGGTCATTGTTGTTCTTAGGGTTGGCTCGAGATACGAAACTGGACCTCTGTTAGCAATTTCTCGGCAAGAACAATTTGTTAAACATACCCGAGCTTCATGGTGTCAGCCTTGGCGAGAATACTCTGCACAGTCCATCGAGCAAGCTTGCAAGAGTTGTTCTTCATTTCAGTAGCAAGAACAGCACCTCTCTGGCTTGCAAGCTTGGTCCTCCAGTCCAAAGCTCCACCGGCTCCTTGGGCCTTGTTGTCGAATTCGTTGAGCGCCTTGATGGTCAGGTATTGGTCCTCGCCGTTGATATTGTTCTTGACAACAGCGTCAAGCTCAGTTCGGACAATCAGGTGCAGTGGCTCCTCATCCTTGTCCAGGGACAGGTCGAATCGGCGATATCTGTATGCCTTGGACGCTGGCGGGTCGGTCTCGACCTCCTCATTGTAGAAGGGGTGCTCGTGGGGCATGTTGACCTTGTTAGTCTCGGATTCGGTAACGACCTGGAGGGGGAAGACGTTGTTGATGTGTGTGGCTTCGAGCATCAGAGCGCCTGGGCTGTTGATCGAATCCTTGTTGCCCTCGGAAATCTCGAGTGGCGCATCTGCAGCGTTCTCGTTGACAGTGACCATGTCCAGACTTGATCCATCGCGCTTATCAATGAAGACCTTGTTGTCCCTCTTGGTGAAGACCAAATCCCACGAGTAGACGGACTTGGTAGCGCACATGAGCATGGAAAGAATGTTGTCGGTAGCAAAGACAGTAGCCTCGTCTTTGTCGGCAAGCTCCTGCAGAACAGGGTCGCTGGAAGTAGTGACATTGTAGGCGGCACGGTCGAGGACGTTGAGTCTGCGTTCGGAAGTCTTAGCACCGGGCTGCTTGTCGTAACTGCGATCGTAGTAGTAGAGGAAGCCGTATTTGTCAATGTCCTCGCCCTCGTGGGTGTCGAGGTTGAGCTTGCTGAGGCGAGAGAAGTCAATCTCCTCCATGACGCTCCATTCGGGCTTGACCTGCACAGAGGCATCGCGGTTGCGTTGGGGCTTGTCGTCCCTCCAGCCGAAGCGGCGTCCTCCTCTTCCACCACGGCCACCGCGGTTGTCATACTGCTGTCCGCCACGGCCGCCAACACGCTGGAAGGTACCCCGTCCTCCCCGCTGTGCTTGTCCGCCACGCGCACCACCCCGTCCACGGAAAACAGTGCCGCCGCCGCGTCCGAAGCCTCTTCCTCGGGCCGATGTTCGTGTGTTGTCAACAACGGAGAAGGTCGCCTCCTCCTCGGCAGCCTGGATGGCGAAGGGGTTGGTCTGTTGGTTTGCACCGTACACTTGCTGGTCTGTGGAACTTGATTAGCCTCTTGTGATCCTTCTTTCGCGACCCAAATCCCAACGTACCCCGGTAGTTGCGGTTGCCATACTGCTGGCGTCCTCCGCGCTCACGGTCCTTGCCCTCAGTCCAGTCGGCCATGCGACCCAATTTGTCGGCTTTGGAGTAGGGCGCAAAGGGCACGCCATCGAGCATCGTCTCGTTGGAGACTGGGGGACCCCATGCTTGGGTATCGGGGAGCGCGGACACGAGGTCCAGAAGGGATGCTGGAGCCATGTTGTCGAGTCGTGGTTCTGCTGTCACTCACACTTGGTGGCCGCTGCACACGAAATTGCTCGAGGTGGGCTGCCAAGATTACGCCGCTAAGGAAAAGCGAAAGCCCGTACCCCGCGCTAGCACACAGGCCTGCCACTGGCCACTCGCTCTGTCTGGTACCAACTGCACGTGTACTTACTCTAGAAGACTGTAACCTACATCAAGACATGTCACAGCAATTAGAGAGCGTTTGCGATCATATTCAGGAGCTCTGTTTGGCCATCGACTCTCATATCAAATAGCTTCGGTGTGAGACAGCTACACTATGCGCCAAGACTTTTGTTTTTCTTTGGAACTGATAGGCTACTCCTCTTGAGATCAACTGCCCAAGATTGGAACCAAACATGGAATTGCAAACAAAGATATTGAAAGCCGAAAGGGGAACTCGGCGCAGAAAACTCGAGTGGATGGTTTGCCGCTTCGCGCCTCCCTATTGCTCAAAGCACACAACAAGATGCTACATTGTCTTCTTCGACTTCTCGGCCTCTTCTCGCATTTCCTCTTGGTCGTCCTTGAACGCCATAACGACGTATGCAATCAATACAACATTCGCCATGAGTGCTGCAAGACCACCGGCGTATGTTGCGTTGCCTAGACAGAGTCAGCAACCCCCTTGGACGCATGTCCAAGTGCTTACCCTGAAAGACAAAGTTGACGGTAAAGAAGTAGGTGCCAATGGGCAAAGTGATCATAGCAAAAGTGAAGCTCATCAATTTCCAAATAACGGACCTGTCGGCATGAGCCAGTGTGACGTGCAGAGCATCCAAGACAACTCACGTCGGCACCGCCGGTGAAATGTTTGATGGCTCTGGTGCGCTCTTCCCATCGTACTCCAGAGAGGACTTGCCTTCGCCGACAATTCTTCTGGTCGTCATGTTGGTGATGTGTGTAAGTGGTGTTGTGTGGTGTCAACGGTGCATGTAAGTATGCAAGCGACTGGCCCTGGCACAGCCAAAAGCAGTAACGTAATGGGCACACTGGAGGTCCAAGCGCCCAGTTTCTCCCCAACGCGTTGAGTGCTTTCTTCACGCGTAGTAGTCATGTTTTTGGCGATCGCCGCCACTGGTTTTTAATTACCCTCTTTTCCCTTCTTGCTCTTCTGCATAGCACACGCGTACTTACAGCGCCATGCCGGCCGATTTATAGTGCATTGTTCTTTGTCTTAGTTTTGTCCTGTTGAACCCTAGTCGCCAACCCGTCCTCTTCTTCCGTAACTATACGCGAGGCGGCCAAGTCGACGACAGTGCTTTGGCCCCCTTCAACCCGACTCGGTACTGCAGCACTGTCACACAATGTACCGTCGCGACCCCATAGTATCTTCATCACCTCCTCCTCCTGTCGGATCACGCGCTACTTTGCATAGCGACGACGACGACGACCAACAAGATCCTTACGTCACTCAGCCTACGCAAATTCTTGCTGAACACTCGCCCTTCTTCCCAGCGCCTTCTGATACCACCGAACCCACGCAGCCCACACAAATCCTTACACCACGCGCAAACCGAGTCCAACACACAGCCTCCTCGCAGTTGCAAGTCCCCCGCTCGTCTCCCACTATTCAGCGATACTCGTCGCCCATCATGTCGCCAACCCAGTCGCAACGGCCGTATGGAGGCTACAGCAACCCAATGGCACCTCCTGGTACAAGTTTTTTCCCTCCACAAGCCGTTCGTAAGCCAATCGTCGATCTAACATCGGACGATCCCCCTGTCGAACGCGATCCAGACGAAGACGAGTCCGAGTACAGGTCTAACATACCGCTGTCAAAAATCGAGATGGCCTCTATGACGTCGAGAATTGAGGAGACACCACAAAAACCAACGTGGGATCTTTCCGGATTCAAATATAATGGTGACCAGTCACGAAAACGACCGTCTGAAGGACCTGCCTCGAGTTCGCCACCGAAGAGACAAAAGCCCCTCCCTCGGCAAGGAGGACCTTCTCGTGCTCTGCCTGTGGATTTGACTGAAGACTCAAACATGACCTTGGAGGATATAACCGACTTTACCATGCAACGCAACGTAAAGCGGTTGCAGGCTATATATCCCAACCGATCAGTGAAGCAGCTACATGAAGCCCTACTTAAGAAGAAGGGCGAATTTTCAGATGCATGTTCGTACTTGGCAGAAGAGGAATCCGAAGACGAGTTGCTTCGGTCTCCACAGCTTGGAGTGGCCCAAACCAAGTCCATGCCGACTGTAAAGAAGACCGCACAACGTGGTTTGAAGCAGCCTGTCCAATCATTACAGAACAAATATTCAAAATTGGGAGCGACTCAGAACAGTCCTGTAGTGATTGACAGTCCCGAGAAGGAGGCACCAAAACGGAAAGGCAGACTTGTTAGCGGAAGAGATCGCAAGCCGAAGATGGCGTTTTCGTCCTCACCAGAACCCACTCCACGGCCGCAACAACACGCAAAGAAGCAAGCGCCAATTATGGTCTCTTCAGATGAGGATGAGGGTATCGATGCAGAGCTTGTGATTGATGATGACTCAGAAGCAAGCGCAGCCCCAGAGAACAACTTCAGCGACGATGCCTTATTGAACTTCTTCAATACCTGCACTGTGGAGGCCATGGTTGACTTGTCAAGTCACAAGGAAGAAGATATCAAAAAAATATTCAAGGAACGCCCGTTCGCCTCGCTTGATGCTGTTCGAAAAATTCACGTAGACCTTGCACCGGCCGAGAAAGGCAAGAAGAAGGCTCGCAAGCCGCGTATTACAACAGGTGCAAGGCTTGTGGAATCTACTGAAGGCATGTGGAACGCCTACTCGACCATTGACTCGGTAGTCAAACAATGTGAAGCCCTTGGAAAACCAATGGTTGCAGGCATGGCACGATGGGGAATCGACATCTTCGGCGCGTCTACTGAAGAAGGAATGGATGTTACGAGTCTCGATGATAGTGATACCAACTCAGCACGGGATTCCGGCTACCATACACCAAAGAGCAGCACCGGCAGCGATACCGAATCCAAGATCATACGCAAAGCAGCCGGCCGTACCAAGCTGCTCAAACAGCCTTCGATCATGAATGACGACATTGAGCTCAAGGACTATCAGGTCGTCGGTCTTAACTGGCTCAATCTTCTCTGGCAAACTGAGACCTCTGGCATTCTGGCCGACGACATGGGTTTGGGAAAAACCTGCCAAATCATTGCTTTCTTGTCGCATTTGAAAGAAGAGGGTAGCGGAAAACCTGCACTCATTGTTGTACCTGGATCTACTCTAGAGAACTGGTGTCGTGAGTTTGAGCGCTTTTCAAGCTCCATCAACTTCACTCCATACTACGGATCTCAAGCTGAACGTTTCTCGCACCAAGAGAGTATTCACCAGAACATTCGGCAGGGAACGTGCGACGTAATTATCACAACGTACGATCTCACGTTCAGGAAGGAAGATCTCATCTTTTTGAAGAAGTGCAGACCTGAAATCTGCATCTTTGACGAGGGACACATGCTGAAGAATGCCAATACGATTCGATACAAGAGCTTGATGAAGATTCCTACCAAGTGCAGAATTCTGTTGACTGGCACACCGCTGCAGAACAGTCTCCAAGAACTCATGTCGATTCTTGGGTTCTTGATGCCGCAGGTGTTTTACGGTGAACAACAGGAAGAAGTCCAGGAGATGTTGCAAATATTGTTCAAACACAAGGCCAAGACTATGGAGAGCGATTCGCACAGCTCTTTGTTGTCTGCTCAGCGTATCCAGCGTGCTCGTACCATGTTGACGCCCTTTATTCTGAGAAGGAAAAAGGCTCAGGTGCTCAAACACCTGCCGAAGAAGACTTCGCGCGTCGAATACTGTGAGCTCACAGATACACAAAAGACTCTGTACAACGAGCAGTTAGCGAAGCAACGCAAGATTCTCGAGGACAGGGCTGCCGGCATCGCTGTCAAAGATCACGCCAACGTGATGATGAAGCTCCGCCAAGCAGCTATTCACTCCCTACTGTTCCGTCACCGCTATGACAACAACACCATCAGGAAAATGTCCAAGGCGTGCCTCAAAGAAGACATGTTTGCCGAGAGCAACCCAGACATTATATACGAAGAGCTCGAGCTCTACCAAGACTACCAATGCCACCAACTCGCCACCAAGTATCGAGCGCTCAAGAAATTCGAGCTCCAAAACCAGGAATGGATGGACTCGGGCAAAGTCACTGCGCTCCTCGCCCTTCTGAAGAAGTACAAGGAAAACGGCGACCGGGCCTTAGTCTTCAGCCAATTCACCTCCGTCATGGACATCCTCGGCTGGGTATTCGACGATCACGACATCAACTTCATGCGCATGGACGGTTCTACCCCAATTCAAGAACGTCAATCCCTCATGGATATTTTCTACCAAGACGAATCCATCCAGCTCTTCATGATCAGCACCAAGAGCGGCGGCGCAGGCATCAATCTTGCCTGCGCAAACAAAGTCATCATCTTTGACTCGAGCTTCAACCCCCAAGATGACATCCAAGCTGAGAACCGGGCTCACCGTGTTGGTCAGACGAGGGAAGTCGAAGTCGTGAGACTTGTCACTAAGGGGACAGTCGAAGAGCAGATTTATGCCCTGGGCATTAGCAAGTTGGAGCTGGATAAGATGGTTCAGGGCGAAGAAGAGAGCGCGCCGAAAGCTAAGGGGAAGAAGAAGGATGAGCCGGCCGCCGGGGCGGCGCTGAGTAAAGCCGAAGAGGCGGGTATGGCGGCCGTCGAGATGATGATGATGCAGCAGTTGCAGTCGCCGCCTGATGAGAAGACAAAGAAAAAGAGCGCTGCTGACGATGGTGCTACTGCGGATATCAAAGAGCAGTTTCTCTCCGGACTGAAGAGTGCGGGATTGGATGTAGCTGGGTAAAGAAGAAGCCCTTGTCTTTCTAACTCCTTGTGTCTGTGTTTTCTTTTTCTTGTTCTTTGCATCGTTTCTTGATTCCCAACACCAACTAAGCTTTGTAGAATCATGGGTTTTTTTATCAGATAAACGACCTGCCAACTCTGTTTTTTTAACATACATACATGTTATGTTCGAAAACCCACTTTACTGTTTTGTCTCGACAAATGAATTTTAGTTATGCATATGTTTCACACGATGTTTCCACATCCGGACCCTTTTTTCTTCTTTGTACATATGTTTAAAGTTTATACCAATGAGCCAAAGAAAAACAGAGCATTGAGTGAGGGAGGCGTGGCGTTTACAAATACTGTTGCATTTGTGATGAGAAAAAGAAGATAGATTAATGTAGATTCTCAGTTGAACGTTTTCAATTCGAAAACCTTTCTTCCAAACTTGATTTGCCAGTCTTTCAAGTTCCAGTATTCTAGCCGTCACGATTAGGTTAAGAAGGGAGTTTTGTTTCCATGAACCCCCAAAAAAAAAGCTAGATTAAAACAACGTACGGAGAGACTGTAGCGCTAAATAAACTGGAAGTGTAGTAGTAGCTAAGAAAAAAAAGCACTATAAAGATATGGAAAAGAAAAAAAAAGAAGAGAGAAAAGAGAAGAAAGAAGAAGAAGAGGAAAAAAAAGACTTTGTTGTTGGTTGTTAAACATACTCCACCACCACCCGCCCAACAACAACAACCCCTCCCCCCTAACAAGCCCTAAGAAAAAGGCCTATATACAAAGTAAAAGTACACACACACACACACACACACACACACACACACACACACAACGAGCGCGCCCCAAGTCTAGTCCCTTTTACACTGATGACACCCCGGCGTTTTTTCCTATGCTTTAGCGGGGGATTGCTCCTGGGTCTTCTTGGGGTCCTCCCTGTCTTCTTTTACTTCTTCTTCACTGCTTTCCTCTTGGTCAGCGTCGCTATCTTCTTCTTCATTGTCGTCGTCCTCGTCATCCTCTTCATCCTCTTCTTTCTTCTTTGCTGGTACTGCTGCTTTACCCTTTGCTGCTTCGCCCTCTGCTGATTCTTCTTGCTCGCTTTCTTCCTCGTCGCTGTCGTCGTCTTCTTCTTCCTCAGAACTGCTTTCTTTGGTGGCAGCGGCAGCAGCAGTAGCAGCGCCGTCCTTTGTGGCTACAGATGTGCCAGCATTTTTGTCTACCTCCTCATCGTCTTCCTCCTCGGAGCTTTCCTCTTCAGAGTCTTCTTGTTCTTCTTCTTCGCCACTGCCCTCCTTGTCCTCTTCCTCTTTACTGGCTTCTGCCTGCGTAGTGCTTATCGGACCAGCACTCAGTGCGGGGTTCTTGGCGTCGTCATGCATGGAAGGAGGTGTTTGGACGGGCTTCTGTACATCGGATATTTTGGGAATACTCTTTGCTGCAGTTGCTTTCAATGTCTTTGTATCCTTTGGCTTTGCGTCCTTGGATTTGACCGTAGCCTTGCCAGCAGATGCTGATGTCGCAGCCCTGCTGGTTGATGCCGAGGTTGCAGACGTTGCAGTTTTGCTTGTAGATGCAGATGCTGCTTTGGGCTTGGACTTTGGCGCAGCCTTTGGGATTCCAAAGAGACCAGTGGTAGGTTTTCGTGTTGTTGTCGTCGATGTTGATGACGCTTTTGGTATTTTAGAGCCTGTGGTGCTTGCCTTGGTATCCTTTGGTTTGACATCTTTCGATTTAACGTCCTTTGCTTTTGTATCTTTCGCCTTGATGTCCTTGCCCTTGACATCTTTGCTCGCAGCGGGCTTGACTACCGCCTTCACACTCTTCTTTGCCTCGGTCTTTGCTTCAGTCTTTGACCCTGCCTTTGCCACAGTCTTTGCTCCAGTCTTTGGTGTAGCCTTTGCATCAGTCTTTGGTGCAGCCTTTGCCTCAGTCTTTGTTTCAGCTTTGGTCTCGGTCTGTGGTTCAGTCTTTTCTTCGGTTGTCGCCTCAGCTTTTGCCTCGGCCTTCACTTCCACCTCCGATTCTGCCTCCGCTTCTACCTCCGATTCCTCCTTTACATCTTCCTTTGCGTCTTCTTTTGTATCTTCTTTTGTATCTTCTTTTGTATCTTCTTTTGTATCCTCATTTGCATCCGTCTTCGCCGTGGGAGCAGCGGCCTTTGCATCCGCCGCGACGCTGGGTGTAGTCGGTGTGGCAACCTTTGGCGTATCAGGCAGGGGAACGGACCGGGGCGAAAGAACATTCTTCAGTTCTTCCTTCAACGGACTCTTGAGCATAGTAGCAGAAGTCGGGGTGTTCGTCTTCTCGGCCAACAACGGATTTGTAGTCTTGATATTGCCAGGGGTGGGCTTCAATGAAGCTGCCTTCTTTGCTGCCTCAGCACCCAGCTCTCGCAGCGCGAGATTCGTCTCTGGGCTCAGGACCGGGATGTCATCTTCCTTTGCAGCTGCGCTCTTGAGCGATGTGGGCGCGGCGGTGCTGGCGGAGGCTGCCATGGGCGGCGGCCCTGGTTTGGCGGGAAAGGGGGTGAAGGCGGAGGTCACCCCCAGTGCCTCTCTGATCTCGTCGTATTCGTTCCATTCTTCAATCTCCGTAATGCCCTGCGTCAATGTTAATCATCATGCACTGGCTGAACTCTGTCTATTGTACCTACACCTAGCACATATCCTTCTTTGACTATCAGGGGTAGCTTCTTTCCACTTGCTCTCCGCTGGAACAGCTTCTTGGCTAGCTCGTCAGTAGCTGTGTCTACCCCTTTAAATGGAATCTTGTTCGCTCTGAGAATTGTCTCGATTCGCGAAGTGGCAGTGATGATGTGCGAAGACCCGGCGGTCAGGGATGTGAAGAGGTATATGGTCGGGTCATTGTCGTAAACGCTGAGTTCGGTCATGGCTGGAGCTCTGCTGGGGTTGGTGCAGTATGGACGGCTTTAGTGTACAGAATGCGGTTATGTGGAAGGCAGAAAACGTAACGACAGATTAAATAGCACTACGCAGCTTTATGCAAGCCTGGAACAAGTGACAGCAATTGTGTGTTTCACGAGTAAGGTATGCTCGAGGGTCGAGGTGTCGAGCGCGAGCCCCACGTTGGCGCGGCGCGGGGTCTGGCTTGGACCCTGACTCAAAAATAGCCCGCCACATGCACAAGAAAGTCTCCGACGCGTCACCGTTCAAACTACATCATTTCTTTTGCGAAAACATGGCTTGCATTGCTAATCTCTACTTCAACAACATTACTTATTATACGAAAACATGTAGATACTGCTTCTTGTTTCTCGTAAATAGACATTATCCGATAGGCGGAGACCCATTCGAGAATTTGCCAGCAAGGACAGTCGTGAGCGCATCTCTGAGCTCAAACTCCTCAAGGACGGCACCAAATCTATCAAGCATTAGCAAGTGACTAGCAGATACCCGGTACTCGTAACTTACCCGTAGCAGCGGACTTTGGCGAGAAGCTCTCCCTTGATGAGCTCGAAGTCTTCTTTGGACAGATCCCGCAGTTTGTCGTGCTGGAGGATCTTTGCCCAAGCCATGATGGGCGTGATCTCCCCGTCAAGGGGTAGACGATTGCTCAGATCCAGGAGCTTCATCAGATCCGGCATGTTGACATCGGGCATCTGGTGAGGGTACTTCTCCTCGGGGCAGTTTGTGATGTGCGCATCAGGAGGTGCCGTGGCCATGAGGGCGTGGCCGCTAATGTTCTCGTCGGCATCATGGGCGCGTACCATTAGGAACTGCATGTGGTCCATACAAGGTCGTTCGAGCCTGTCCGACACATCTTGTCAGAGCATGTCTTGTTAAGATCAAAGAGAAACGTACGAGATTTGAAAGAAATAAGGCAGAAAAGACGTAAGCGCATTACTGCTGGGGTGGAGGAGAAAGATAGGGCGTTCGGTCGTACGTTAAAACGAAATCTATGCCAATCTGGTCATAGTCCAGCCCTTGAGGCTGGTGATGGTGCTGCTGCTGCTGGGCTTGATGCTGCAGAGTCAAGGGCTGACTGCTCATGCCATCGTGAGATGCCGAACCGCGTGTTGGTGGTGAGGTATAGCCAGTAGAGGCTGAACCCGGTCCATAGCCTGACACACTACCTGTTGAACTTCCGTACGTGGAGCTTCCAACTTGGGCCATGCCGTTGGAGGGCCGACCCTGAAGGTCAAAGGCGATGCCATGCGCCATGAGCAGCTCTCGGAGTCGCCTGTTCTCTTCGGCGTAGGCATCACGTTCACGCGAAGTAGCGGCGAATGTGTCTTTGAGACGGATGACCTCCTGTTCGAGAGCCTTGATATACAGCTCTTTTCTTTCACGGTGCGTTCTTGCAAACAAGTCAGCATGGAATTTAGAGTATGCATGGCTTTGCCGAGGTTACCTTTGCGCTTGGCGATTCAGCTCTTGTCTCCGTGTCAAGGCAGGTTTGCTGTCGGGCTTGGGACCCCTTCTCTTTGGCGGCTGTCCATCTTGTTTAATTAGCAATTTTGCGTGAGAGCAGGGAGACATGGACGAACCTCGGGTTGTCTTCTTGTCGGTTAAGCTCTTGAAGAAGCCAAATTGGGCTAGAGGACTCTTTGATTCGCTGCCTATGGATTGCCATTGCCCTGTACTCTCCACGTCCGGCGCGAAAGCAGCCAAGCTACCTCTCCTGCTACCTCCCATGCTTCCCATGCTCATCTCCGACAGACACTCAGAAGGTCTTCGGGAGGCAGCAGGAGAAGGGTAGTCGGTTGCAGCGCCGGCAGGAGGGTAAGTGGGCGCCATGGTTAGCATGTGCGCATTAGGCCAGGACATAAAGCGCTGATGCGACATTGCGTCTATAGATTAAAAGTTGACGAAGGTAATAAAAAACAAGGAGAATCGTTCTGTATGCGTTCTGTATGCGTATGTGTACCGAGCTTGGATGCGGGGAAGGGAAGCGTTGTATGGCCATGTATATGTAGCGTCCTCGAAGCCTTGTATCCGACTTAGGCAGGTAAAAATTCGTCAAGCGGCATGTCGTTCATGCATCGTTGCCAATGGCCGGCACATAGGACAGCCGTGAGGCTCGACTGGACGCTTATACCGACGTGGGAATGGCGGGCTTGACCGAGACTCAATCTGTCTCTGCAGCGCCCGTTTAAGGTGTGGAGCAGAGATGGAAAGGGAATGGAAGCATAGGCGGCCAATCACGAGGCTGAGGGTCCGCGTGCCAAGACCAGGATACAGGAGGCGCGAAGCCGAGACAAAACACAACCAACGTCAAAGAGGAGGGTCTTATTAAAGCGCGCCGCACCAGATGAAGGCAGAAAAAAAAAAAGGCAAACTTACCACTCCCGTTGAAATGACTCGAGTCACCGACCGAGGGGTCGGTCTTGATGGTGGCGGCCATACTATGTGTGCTGCATGGATCGGCACCAGGTGCAGTTTGGCAGCGGCGAATCCAAGAGTATCTTGTCTGCGAGCGGTCCGAAGGCTGCTTCGACGCTTTTGGCGGAGGAGCGTGGGTGGTGTGGAGAGTAGAGGCACACTAGTTGTCGACGTCTGTCAGCCCTCACGCAATCCCTGTGCGCATCCGAAACATACACACAGTCGTCCGATACTGCTTGCGACGGCAGACGGGGGTTCGCAAAAGGTCAGGCTCGCGCCCAAGGCGTCGCTGTCTGATACTCGAGCACGCGTGCCCAAGGCTTGCCGTTGGCTTCCGGATGCTGCTGAGGCGCACAGCCGACGAAGGAGGGCGCGGCGGGCTGTAGCCACGAGGTGGAGCGGTCGTGGGCGTGGGCGAGTAGTGGGTGAGGCAATTGAGACGTGCGATGTGCCCTTGGCGTCGCAGGCACGGAGAAGCTGGTGTAGCACGGCAGAGGACGGAGGATCTCAGGGCGACGACGGCTGAGAACAACTCTTACACTTGTGGTGCGATGTCGACGGTAGTTTAGTACCAATTCGCCCGCACAGCAATGCGCTACCCACCCAAGCTGATCGGCGCGAGGGCACAGGCCCGCCCATGGATTTGGAAGACGAAGCGGCCAATGCACGGCGACAAGCCGACAGCAGCGTCTGGCCGAGCCATCAGCCCATGCCCGCGGGGGCATAGTCGAGGGCCAGCCGCCCCGTCTCGACTGATGTCTAGTGCATCGTCACTGTCCAGGTACGGCTCTGGCCTCCATGTCCATTGCCTGCATAGGGGCTCGAGCTAACCCGTCCTCGCCCTCTGTGTCCAGGTGGCGCGCTGCCACGGTCATGGCCATGGCCACATGCATCCCCGCGGCACGGCGCCAGAGAAACCATCACGTCCCAAACACATCCACCTACCCTACCCACCAAAGGCCGTGACCATGGGTTCGCTTGTCAAGTAGCCGTCATACAAGAGCAACTAGTCTTGGCCACCACAAGTAGACACCCCCGAAGCACTTCGGACATGCTACTTGCCTATTGTGGATGTAGCCCTCAACTCTCTGCCTCGGGTCCGTCTTCACGGTAACTTTGCTATTTGTGTGAGTGTGTGTGAGTGTGTGTGTGCGAGGTGGCAAGGTTACGTGCATATTTCTATCTACTTGGTCTTGGCCTGGCCTGATGTGACCATGACACCTCATCAAGCTCAAGAGCATGACTCTGAGGCTTAGGGTACTATCATGTTACTACTTACGGCTTGTTGGCAAGGATCTTCTCAATCTCCTCCAAGACCTCCGGAGTCAACTTGGGCAGCAGCTTCAGGGCAGCACAGTTGTCTTTGATCTGTTCGGGCTTCGATGCTCCAAGAATGACGGTGCTAACGTTGGGGTTGCTTGCGGCCCAGGCAAGCGCCAGTTGCGTCGTGTTGCCTCCAAGCTTCTCTGCAATCTTGGTGAGCTCCTTGACCTTCTTGATCTTGGCCTGTCCCTCTTCACTCTTGAGTTCCTCAATCGTCTTCTTGAAGAACTCGGAGTTGGTTGCGAAGCGGCTGTCCTCGGGGATACCGTCGTTGTACTTGCCCGTAAGCATGCCACTTGCCAGGGGGCTCCAGATGGTGGTACCGTACTGGTACTTCTTGTACAGTGGAGCGTACTCTTTCTCGAACCTTTCACGGTGGAAAGCATTGTACTGCGGCTGCTCGACGACTGGTGCAATGAGGTGATACTTCTCTGCAATGTCGCACGCCTCTTGAATCTGCTCTGCAGACCACTCAGAAGTGCCCCAGTAGTAGGCCATGTTCATGTTGATTGTCTGGGTGAAAGCCTCGACTATCTCCTTCATCGGTACACTAGAAGAAGCACATTAGGAGGCGCACTTGACCAAAAAGGCGCGTCATTACATACTCCGGGTCGAAGCGATGAGCAAAGACAATGTCGACGTAGGAGTGGTCAAGTCGCTTCAGCGAGCTCTTCAAACCCTCGACAATGTGCTTCTTAGACAAACCCCTGCATACTGGTTAGCCGAGAAGCAAACACGAGATTGGGGTCCACTTGCCTGGTGTTGGGCTCCTGCCTCCGTGTTCCAAAAAAGACCTGTCAATCAAACAGGTCAGTCTGAACCATGGGATGGTGCTGCAGACGGCGCTACCTTTGTTGACAAAACATACTCGTCACGCGGCCATTGCAGCTCCTTGAAGGCCTTGCCCATTTCGATTTCACACTCTCCAGCCGCATAGACCTCGGCTGTGTCGAAGAAGTTGATTCCGTGGTTCCAGGCCTCCTCCATGCAGTCCTTGACGATGGAGCCCTTCTGGGTTCCTCCGTACGTCAACCAGCCGCCAAGGGACAGGACAGAGACCTTGAGGCCGGCAGGGCCCAGGCGCCTGAACTGCATGTCCTTTGGGTCGAATTTGGTTTCTACGGGCATCTTGGGAGAGTGTTGAGGGTGTGTAGTTGGTGGGAAGAGGAGGCTTCAGAGTGTGGAGGTGTCGATTGCGGGCGGTGGACGGCCATGAGGGGCAAGAGATTGGAGAGCATTTGGTGGGGCAGGGCCGCGGGACGGGGTAATGATGTCACGAGCTATGCACAAGAGGCAGCTGCCGACAGGAGTATGTACTTAGGTAAGGAAGAGCTGGCCAGGCCAGGAGTACGCCTCCGCTTGGGTGAGCCGCGGCCCGCTGGCCAGAGGCACCGACGCCGACACGGACAGCGATGCAGACAGCTGAGCGAGGCCTCACACATTACTAACCACGCAGCCGTCGCGCATAGACTTGGCGCTCCAAAGGAGAGAAGGCGCGCAAGGCGCAGGGCGTCAAGTCAGTGGCTTGCAGGTGGCGCAGTAGCACGCGCGCCCGCGTCCAGCCAGATCAGGCCGCCTGAGACAACATGAAGGGCCGTCAGCACGATGCAATTATGCCCCGCTGCCAGCCAGCCGTGCGCCGTCTGCTGAACCTACACAGGATGTCCTATGTTGCACAATGGCCTTGCAATTTTACTGGCAGTGGTGCTAGAGTCGATTTTGACAGTTGTTGAATGGCATTGGCAAAGGCTTGTCGCCGTCTGTTTCACGTTTCGAAACACGCCGACCAGCTGAACGGCACTCGTCCAATCACCAGCCCACAACGCCTGGTCACGTGCCCTGCCATCGCGCCCAATGCAAATGATTGGCCGTGGCGGCTCGCTGATCCGTGGTTACGCCTTACACATCTCCTGAAGGGCACATGGAGGAGGACGCCTGAAAGAAGCAGTCCACAGCGTGCACCGCCCTATATCTTGGGCGTTTGCTTCCTCATCACACTGCCTCATTGTCCGTCCTTGGTTCTTTATTTAGCCATTCATTTTCTGCGGGGCAGAAGAACAGACCATTCACGCCTATTCTGTTAAGAGGCATTGTATTCCATTCTTTTTTCTACATAACACAACCATTTCAACCACTCACTCACCCACCCACTCACTCTACCGTTGCCTATTTATTCGTACCCGGGTTTCCATTACAACCACCAAGAATTTACTTTCAACACCAACCACCACCATCAACATGGGCTTCAAGAAGAACCTTTTCTGTGCCGGCGCTTTCGCCCTTGGCGCCCTTGCCGCACCCCTGCCTGACTGCCCGGATCGCGCCCCAGCTACTGGTGGACCTGCAGCCCTGACTGCGGCCACGCTGATCGCCATCGCACCCAATACCGAATCCTGCGCAGGTGCAGACTTCCCGGAGGAGTGTGCAGATGCCTCAACGGCCGCCACTGCATTGACCAAGGCATTCAACACCTACAACATCACCTCAAAGGGAGAGCAGGCTGCAATCATCGCCTACGAACTTTTCGAGAGCGGCGATTTCAAGTACAACAAGAACCACTACCCCGGTCGCCCCGGTCAGGGAACAAGGAGTAAGCAACAACCACCCATGTCAATATTCAAACAACAAGTATACTAACCACTCACCCTTTTTTTAGTGATGGCTATGCCAAACTACGTCGAAAAGTACGCTACCAGTGTCGCTGGCGCCGATGCTGTTTCAAAGGCCAAGGCTGCAGGAGGCGACGCCGGTCTGGTAGCCGTGCTTGCCCTCGTCAACAGCGACGACGAGAAGAGCTTCGGCAGTGCAGCCTGGTTCGTCAGCACAGTCTGCAGCGCTGAAATACGCGCTGGCCTTGCTGCTGCCACCAAGGACGGCTGGGACAAGTTCCTGAGCGACTGCGTCGAGACGCCCGCCGACCCTGCCCGCGACCCTGCCTGGACCGCTGCTATTGCAAACATCAAGTAAAATGGCTATATGCTAGACTTTGTTCTTGGCCTTACTGGATTTTTCTGTAGCTTGATGCCTTCACCCCTTTTCTCTTCTCCTTTGAATACTTTACCATTATGTATCTTGTCGCTTTTCCAAAATATGTATATGTATATGACAATTCACAATTGAGACGCTTTCATGACTCCATTTGTTTACTCATTTACCCCATGCTTGCAATATACTATGTTCAATCTCAAGGTCAAGTACGCTTATATGTTGTGTGATAATCGTTGTGTTGACTATAGAGTAGTTTCTCAGCAGTGGCTGGATAATGTCGATCCACGCGTGCCAGGACGCACGGTCTAACGGAACGCTTCCCTAGTATTCTCTAATATAGATAAGTATAACACGCATCTATTCTACAGCTTTTATTCTTCTGGTAAGTTAGTTAACGTGCGTCCCTTCGTGACGGAACAACCGGTGTAGCGGAACACTATTTCTTAAGCGAGTAGATAAGAGGAGGAAACACTTATAGAAACATGTTCGAAATCTCTTATTATTTTTACTTGCATACATCCTACACATAACTAATACTCAGATAGAAAAATACGCAGTGGCAATAAGCCCAGCTTTGTCATCTGAAATATACTTACGTACGTGACCGCTGGCTTGGTTAATTATGTGACATGTTCTTCTGGCACGGTCTATTAGTCTTTAGTCTTTAGTCTTTGTTCTACTATTAGCGATTCGTAAATCTGCAGAAAATGCCTAGCTAGGACAAGCACCGAGTCTGGAACCCCTACCACCATACAGCTCTATCATCGATGCCGTGGCGCTTCTTATAGTGTCGCAGCCTATGTAAGGCTGAACTAACAAGCCACGGTAACAGCAACAAGAACAGGCAATAGCTATACGCCACATATGAATGGAGATGGTAGATATCGAGAATAATGCTGGTCAATTGCATCGCACTTTCGCATGCGACACAGTTACAATACTATACTACTATCTAAGGCGGAAAACCTTCCTAATGTGCTACTAATAGGCTACGGAACCATGACTGCTAAGTGGAGCCAATTTATGCGCGTTGCCGCGCTGGTCGGTGTTGCAAATCAACGAGGCAGAACTTATTAGTCAACTATCTATGAATAGTTAAGCAAAGTTCATGAAAAGTCAAAAGTGATTGCTAAGAGTGTCTATGGCTAAGGTAGACGCTCCTATTAATTAGCGCCGGCTTTACTATTTT